ACTGCTGCTGCTGCTGGTGTTACTACCACTGCTGCTGCTGCTGCTGCTGCTACTGCTGCTGCTGCTACTGCTGCTGCTGCTGCTGCTGCTACTACTACTGCTGCTGCTGCTGCTGCTGCACTGCTGCTGCTGCTGCTGCTGCTGCTACTGCCACTGCTGCTGCTGCTGCTGCTGCTGCTGCTGCTGCTGCTACTGCTACTACTGCTGCTGCTGCTGCTGTTACTGCTGCTACTGCTGCTGCTGCTGCTGCTGCTGCTGCTACTGCTACTACTGCTGCTGCTGCTGCTGCTGCTGCTGCTGCTGCTGCTGCTGCTGCTACTACTACTGCTGCTGCTGCTGCTGCTACTACTACTGCTGCTGCTGCTGCTACTGCTACTGCTACTGCTGCTGCTGCTGCTGGTCTGCTGCTACTACTACTGCTGCTACTGCTGCTGCTGTTGTTGCTGTTACTGCTACTGCTGCTGCTGTTGCTACTACTACTACTACTACTGCTACTACTATAACTACTACTACTACTGCTACTGTTGCTTCTTGGCTTTACGACTACAGATTCAAATACCATCGCATCTATTCCGTCAACTATTACAACATATCAAACCGTTCGGCTATTACGTAATCTCAAGTGTTACTACAATTCTTGGCATGAAATCTACCACCGCGACTACCAATAATCACACGACTCATTTATCCGCGATTATGACCCAAAAGCTCTGTAAAAAAGTACTCGATCATAAGAAAATTGTTTATCGAAATAAAAACATTATCATTTACTTTTCCCTTCCAATTTAGTAAAAGAAACGAAACTCTAATTTCAGTGACCCAAAGTCAACTGCATTGGTTTAAGTCGAACATTAAATCACGTCCGAGGTATAAGCCTTTAATACCAAGCAGTGTTCACATTCCATCCAACAGGATGGTGTTACGTACACAATAGTAAACATACAAGTCATTAATTACCAGTCAGCTGACCGCGAAGAGGGTCAAATGTAGGTAGCATTATAGCCACGCCCCCATAACACACACTAAGCTTCTGTCACAAGTCGTTGATGGCCACATATACTTGTGACTGAAGGTTAATAGTGAATGTATGGGTGTACACCCCAATAGGACTCCGGAAGTAATGGAATTGTTCCTCATAGGAATTTTACCACAAGATGTACTGTCCACGTGATGTGAGAAGCTGTGTTAATAAGGTATGTGTGTATGTATGTCTGTGTGTGAGTGGTTTTACGCCATTTTTAGCAATATTTCAGCAATATCACAGTTACGACACCGGGAATGGGCTTCACACATTTTATCCGTGTGGGGAATCGAACTGCGGTTTTCAAACGTCACGGTGCCCCCAAGTTAATACAGTCATACCCCGTTGTGTCGAACTTGTCGGGAAAGGTTCGACTTATCCGAGTGTTCGATACATCCGTCAGCATAGAAATGACCAAGTACCAACACGACCAAAGTGCTTACAACATCGTTTTTATTTTGTATATATTTGAAAGTGAAGTTGGGATTTGTACCATGGCTAAACTTACATACGCAACACTGTGTCTAGTGGGCCACCACGTTTTCCATGATCAATGCTTTCAATCATGCACATGTTTTACCAGTGTCGCTTTCTGTATGCCAACGTTTAGACACATAGAGGGAGCAACAGCGACAATTGCTGATATTTATATTCTCATTTCAGTCTATTCACAGTGAATTTATACAGTCACATAAGACAGGTGTTTAATGTTTGTCATTAGTCCCGTGGTAACACAGACGGAGTCTACTCCTGGAGACGTATGTTGAACAGCGCCAGACTTTCTGCATTGTGAAGTGCCTTCCTTTAACGCTGTCAACTGTCGGTCACTGTCAGGGTGGTTGGTATGTTCTGATACTGCCTACTTCTAGACGCCGGTCAGAGTCACAAGGAGTAACCGCTCAACACGCTCTCATACTTGGATCTCTCGCAGCTAGTCGTGAAGTGCAGGTGTGGGAGGGGGTGATTTGTGTGGAGGGTTAATATGTGTACACGTGAGAGAGGGTGGTGGTGGGTGGGAGAAGAGGTGTATGAGCTTGGAGGTGATGGGTGGGAGAAAGAGTGGTGGAAGAGGTGTATGGTCGGGAGAAGAGGGTATGGATGGAAGAGTGGTGTATGGAAGGAGAAGAGATGTGAAGAGAAGTTTATGGATGGGAGAAGAGGTGTATGGATGTGAGAAGAGGTGTATGGGTGGGAGAAGAGGTGTATGGGTGGGAGAAGATGGTTTATGGATGTGAGAAGAGGTGTATGGATGTGAGAAGAGGTGTATGGATGGGAGAAGAGGTGTATGGATGGGAGAAGAGGTGTATGGATGGGAGAAGAGGTGTATGGGTGGGAGAAGAGGGTGTATGGATGTGAGAAGAGGTGTATGGATGGGAGAAGAGGTGTATGGATGGGAGAAGAGGTGTATGGATGTGAGAAGAGGTGTATGGATGTGAGAAGAGGTGTATGGATTGAAGAAAGAGGATGTGAGAAGATGTATGGGTGGGAGAACATGGTTTATGGATAGGAGAGAGGTGTATGGTGTGAGAGAAGAGTGTATGGATGGGTGAGACAGAAGGGTTTATAGATGGGAAAAAGAGGTGTGGATGGGTATGGATGGAGAAGAGGTGTATGGATGTGAGAAAGAGGTGTATGGATGTGAGAAGAGGTGTATGGGTGGGAGAACATGGTTTATGGATAGGAGAAAGAGGTGTATGGATGTGATGGGAGAAGAGGTGTATGGATGTGAGAACAAGGTGTATGGGTTTATGGATGGGAGAAGGTTTATGGAGAGACAGAGGTGTATGGATGGGAGAAAGGTGTATGGATGTGAGGATACAGCTATGGCAGGAAAAGAGGTGTATGGATTGGGAGAAGAGAGGTGTATGGGTGGGAGAACAGGGTTTATGGAGGTGGCATGGATGGAAAGAGGTGTATGGATGGGAAGAAGAGGAGAAGATGGGATGGAAAAGGTGTATGGTGTTTCTGGATGTGTATGGATGAAAAGAGGTGTATGGATGGGAAAAGAGGTATATGGATGGGAAAAAGAGGTGTATGGATGGGAGAAGAGGTGTATGGGTGGAGAAGAGGTGTATGTATGGATGGGAGAAAAGAGGTGTATAGGAGAAGAGGTGTATGGATTGGGAAAAGAGGGTATGGGTGGGAGAAGAGGTGTATGGTATGGATGGGAAGAATGGATGTGTGGAGAAGAGGTGCATATGGTGTGAAAGGGAGGTATGGATGGGAAAAGAGGTATGGTATCAAGGTGGGAAAAGGGGTGTATCGATGGGAAAAAGAGAGGTGTGTATGGATGGGAGAAGAGGTGTATGGATGGAGAAAAGAGGTTTTATGGATGGAAAAGAGGTGTATGGGTGGAGAAGAGGTGTATGGGTGGGAGAAGAGGTGTATGGGTGGGAGAAGAAGATGGGTGGGAGAAGATATGGTGGGAGAAGAGGTGTATGGATGGGAAAAGAGGTGTATGGATGGGAAAAGAGGTGTATGGGTGGGAGAAGAGGTGTATGGATGGGAGAAGAGGTGTATGGGTGGGAGAAGAGGTGTATGGGTGGGAGAAGAGGTGTATGGGTGGGAGAAGAGGTGTATGGGTGGGAGAAGATAGAGAGAGGGAGATATATAAATAATTCAATATGCCCCATTAATAACAATTTGTAATCACTAGCGGACCCACTGTATGCGCATGTCAGGATTTCTAATGACCCACAAGGTAGCTTTAGCTATTGACAACTTCCGGAAGCCTGTGATATTGAGGAGGTAATAAACTACCCGATCATGACCGGAAATGACGTGAACAACATTGCGCAGATCATTTCTGCGTTCCCTCGCCGTAGTTTGGCTGCAAGATGCTGACTACGACGTCCAGCCATACTTACTGACCTGACCTTTGTGTTTGTGTGTAACACGACCTTATGATGATGGCGTGGTCAAGGACACTGATACATCCAGCAGAAGTGTGAAAAGAGGGTCTATAGATGTGCAGACCAACAGTCATTCGCGTACATACACACAGACGCACACACGCACGCGTAGATACACACTGACACCGAGTTTTACAACACACACACACCACACACACACACACACACACACACCACACACATACACACACGCACGCACACACACACACGCTCGCACGCACGCACACACACGCACGCACGCATACACACAGAGAGATTTTCATAAACACTAAGCATTTTCACTTAGGCCCCGTGGCAAATCGTGAAGAAAAGAGTTGTCTATCTTTAACACGAGCGCGCTTGTAAAACAGAAGGTGACACAGTAATTGGAACATGCGCAGAAGATACACATAATTAGGCTTAAGTTAACTCAAACCTAATTGGTTTGTTCTTTTAACGTTCAGCTTGCTGGTTTTTGCTCTGAAAAAAAAAGTCATCCTATCAAATTAAAACTACAACTGTCTCGTTTGTCTTTGTCGGTGTCAAACAACCAACACGGTGCAATTTATTGGGTGTATTTGGTCTGTTGTTTCAACGCATCGCTTTGACAAATTGCACACGTAAACGACAGCAAAGAGAAAACCATTGGTCTTACCGAGCCCCGCTTGAGTGTTGTAAGTGGTGGCCACAGAGGAAACTATAAAAATCAATCAGTAACTGGGATCGATATTCTGACAGGAAGATCGATAAAAATGGGAAAACAAATTACAAAGACATTGAGTAAGGAGATTTGTAGCGACTCGTTGTCCTGATCCGATTGTGGAGTGTTCTAAATCTGTCTCACGACACCTCACGTCGTTCACACGACGGCGAACAGACACGTTGGCATGGCTGACTTATTCCCTGCTGCAGGCGTATGATGACGCCGGGCATATTGCTGTACTGGACACTTACAGGTTGTATAATGAAATTTTGTTCGTATTGATGGTTATTTTCTGATCTTTATCAACTGAACGTCATCTAGTGTTTGTCGGCGAATTGTTTAGCAGTTTTACAATTATAACATCTATATGTTTTGTTTCCTCTAGACTGAAGACCGAAATGAAGAGACACAAGACCAGAGTCTGATTGGCTGAAACTATGGAATCAAAGGAAAAAGATAATCTGCCCCCCAATGGGGTGTTGACCTTCACCTTGTTTGTTATACTCCCCACGGAGGACGTCTGTTCGCTCCGGAATCTTGCGTCAGGCGTCACCGTACGTGAGTTAAGATCTCGTCTGGAGTTGATGGCGGGAATTCCCGCGCAGATATATCGCCTGGTATGTTCCGATGACGTCGCACTGCACGAGGAACACCGACTAGTGCTGGACAAGAATGTATGGGACGGGTTCATTGTTCGTATCCAGCTGCATGAAAGTTGGCTGCGACTTTTCAAGGCTGTTCTGGCAGACGACGTTGATCACGTGATACATCATGGCGCCGTAAACTTTCAGAATCAGAAGGTCGCCAGCCCTGGCGAGGAAGGCAAATTCAAGGACATCATGCAGGAACGAGGCTTTGTGTCTTTATTCATCGCGAGCTACTATGGTCATCTGAAGATGTGCCAGACGCTGCTCTCTCTGGGTAAGTAGTGGATTGTCAATTTTGATTAGGCTCAAGGGGACCATCCCTATAAATCTATTGACCATGATAAATATATGGTAGATTTCAGGATCAACGCCCGAGCAATGTTACCCTCTAAACATTTTCATCTGAATTCATTTGAGTTCATGTCCTGGCACATGAGTATAAGTGGACTAAAACCACTTAATCTGTGGCATGCAGAAGCGGACGAAATGGGTTTCAGACGTTGAGCTTCATTCTTCCGTGTGTTCCTCTATTTCACCACCACCTCTCATCTATGAATAAATAATTGTCCTTGCAATAATATCCCGAATGTTCGAATGCTAATATAAAAAATAATAATAAATGTCTTAAGCTTACGGAGACAATGATGCTACAAGGAAGGACAAGTCAAAACATTGATTACACAACAGTTTCGTTTACTGCTGACAGGGTTCCGTCCTGTTGCGCAACCAGTCCATAATTTAGAGACCAACTCATTCAACTGGATACATAAATATTAATCAGTATTATTTGATCCATCTAATCACTTGCATATTGCAACACTACGCTCCTTCTAATCCTTGCAAACACGTCGTGCAGCGTGCTCTGTCGTACAGCATGCTCTGACAAACGGAGATCTGGAAATCGTGGAAATCTCAAAACGAGGCTCTGCCGCTAGACAAGTTTGGCGGTCTGGTACGGACTTGATATTATATTGTATGTTACAGAAATACTCTTAATAAGCGCAAAAAACACATAACAGGTGTAACCAGTGAACCAGATGAATTGTGAATCATTGACGTCTCAGTTAACGACATGCAGCCTAAACCTTGACATAAAATATAGAAATACGATCATTTAAAACTTTAAATTTGAAATTAATTTGTAAATACCATTTTCTTATGAAACAAGGAATTGGAATTTAGTGTAACCATAGTTATTTGTAGTGTCTCTTTTCACTTTCACACGAGAAAATTCGGATCGGCTGAAAAGTAGGTCATTGTCTCAACTGGTTAATGAGACTCAAGTTTCGGTTTGCTCGTGACCCTAAGGGTCTCGGTGCTGTATTTGTTGTCAGCTGATACCTGTGTGGCATCGTGTCAGAATACATCCCCTGGAACCTATGCTTGTCACTCATTCACTGTGACTGACTTGGTAATGATGTCCTCTCAAATGCTTATTTAGCAGTGCCAAAATTGAAAAACCAAACCAAACCTACCATCATTCATTCTGTTTCTATTTGTCCAGGTGTCAGTGTGAACGGAAGGACGCCATTTAAACGGACGCCATTGCATGCCGCGGTCAGCCGGGACCAAGACCATGTCATGGACGTCTTGATCCAACATGGCGGATCTGTTGACGTCAAAGACGCGGTGGGAGATACTGTTGAAATTGTTGCAAGAAAATGTTTCGCTAAACAGTGTGTCAGGAAGTTAAGAGTTCTGAAGTTACAAGGCTCTGTTACCAATGGGTATGTTTCGTTGAATGGACAAAATTCAAACAGGAAAATAAAACCATTAATCCCCAGTCCTCCGGCTCAACAACCGCCATCTAGGCCAACAACAAGCAACAACAGATCGAGGCTCATTAAACGTCATACTGTGCCGTCAGTGAATTCGAAATCTGAGCCGCTTCCGGTTGGAAGTGAAGAGGAAGTGACGTCATCGCATCAACATTTCATGTGGGATACCGATACTCGTGAAGCTCGGAGTTCTAGTGCTTCAAGGTACCGTTTAGGGACCCCAGGCAATAATCACGTGATGCCGAGAATTGGAACGGCTAGTTCTAAATATAGTGTGTCGTGGGATGACTCGACTCCCCGCACCCCAGGGCGCCACACCCCAAACAGACATGGATCGCTTCCTCACAAACAGTCCATACTCAAAAACAAGGGAGAGAACTTTGCCACCGTTCCCCCACGAAAGTCAGGAAGCAGGGGAGTTTCGGGTTCGATACATGTGCCATCCCCTCCCCGTGCCCCCAGTGAACATGGTAGTCAGATTTCGATTGCGTCGGCGCCGGGGATGGGTCAAGACCTTTCCGGGAACAATTCGGATGCACGGAGCGTGGAGAGCGCACCTGAGCTGCAGAATGAAAGTCAGGGTGCGGATAGCAGTTGTAAAGACTCCTCCAAAAGACCAAGGTGGGGTTGGAATATCGATCGAAATTCATTGATGTAATCAAACAATCGATAGAATTTTAAAGTAATCGATGGTAATTTGAATGTAGGGTGAGTGTAGTGAGATTCAGTATATTGTCTATTGCATTGTGAGTGAGTGTTGTGAGTGAATAGCGTTTTAGCAATATTACAGCAATATCTCGGCGGGGAAGACATTGTACCCATGTGGGGAATTGAACCCGGGTCTTCGGTGTGACGAGCGAACGCTTCAACCTTTAGGGTACCCCACCGCGCCGATTAGGTCGGCAGAGGGCAACTTAGATGACTGCGGAAGGGACGTTACAGGTAATGCTATTGTAAGTTACGCACCGTTTGATATTAGGTCAATCGTAGTTTTTAGTGGCCGGAGAGTGAAATCCGGACATGGGATTCAGACGTTGACACCTTTGGTGTAACACACCAGCGTGATACTGACGGGACATCGTATCAGGGTGAAACAGGATTCGAACCCTTATATTTGGATTTCTTCACAAACACAAAGGTACAACTTTCCATACTTACCATTGTTTAATCACGAATGTTTCTACTTCGGGTATAGGACAAGGGGGTATCTGTGCTAATTCTTCCAGTGACAACACTAAGTAGCGCCTTATTGTCACAATGTGAAGATCCGGATTAGAATTGATCTTTGTAACCCATGCTTGTCGTAAGAGGCGTCTAACGGGATCGGGTGGCCGAGCTCGCTGGCTTGGTTGACATCGTCGTCCAGTTGCGTAGATCGGTGTTCATAATGTGAATCACTGGACTTTCTGGTCCAGACTCGATTATTTACACATCGTACAGCTTTAGTATTGCTGAGTACAGCGTTAAACAGCAAGGAAACAAACAATAATCCGTTACTATGTTAACCATTTCAATAGGAACGAAAGCGTCCATGGTAACGGCATTCCACTGTGTATACATGTCAGGGTGGCCCTTTGGCTAAAACGTCCACTTGCTAAACTCGTCATTAATTGCTATCATTCGACTACTAAAACTATTCTCGTTGCCAACGTCAGCAATACCTTGTGTGTCTGTCCTAGACGTGCTGATTAATAGGCGGTAGCGAATATTGCTGATTGAAATAACATTCACACATTAACTAGCTAGCCTCATTATCAGTATCCCTTGTTATCCCTGCTCGATAACTGCTTCGTTATAACCGATGTGTTGCTTTATCCGACGTCGACATAGGAAGGGTTACAGGGGCCGGAGAAGTTCAGTAAGTATCATATGATGCTGGGGCGGTATTCATAAAAGAACTTAAGTCTGAAATATGACTTAAGTTTTTGAAAAAACTAAGTTTATCACTTTTTCTGACTTAAGTTTTCAGATTTTACTCAAGTCATATTCATAAAGCAACTTAGGCTTAAGTTTTGGCGATTTCCGACTTAAATCTTAAGACTGGGCAGGGGGGTAGGCTTAACTGGAAGGTGTTTGACTTAAGTCAGTAAACAATATGGCTGCCGTAGCGCTGAGGCGTCGTTCATTTCACCAAAGACCCGTGAAGATCCGAGGTAGAATAGGTCTTCAGCAACCCATGTGCTTGCCATAAAAAGGCGACTATCTTGTCGTAAGAGGCGACTAACGGGATCGGGTGGTCAGTTTCGCTGACTTGGTTGATACATGTCATCGGTTCCCAATTGCGCAGATCGATGCTCATGCTGTTGATCACTGGATTGTCTGGTCCAGACTCGATTATTTACAGACCGCCGCCATATAGCTGGAATATTGCTGAGTGCGGCGTAAAACTAAACTCACTCACTCACTCATTTCACCAAAAAAGACAAAGTCTCGTTGAATACAGCGATGAAGAATTAATTCGGCGATACCGTCTAGATGGGAATGGCATTAGATTCGTCGCCAGCATTTGGGAGAAAGGATATTTTTATAAAATAGGATTTCCTAATTTTTTTTATAAAAAGTAGGATTTCCTATTTTTTTTTAATTTCCCATATATTCTTGAAATCAATTGTTCTAAAGTTGATTACACTTATGATGATAATACCTTTAATAGATATCACTCAAAGCTTTCATATTTAGTCATATATTTATAAACTAGGATTTCCTAAAAAAAATTATAAAGTAGGATTTCCTATTTTTTTAAATTTTCCATTGTTAGTAAACAAAACACAGGAAATTTTACAAATATTCCTGACACTACATGCTGTAGCCTCATCAAACTATTTATTTGTATGAGGTCATGTTCGCTTAAAAAACTTTTCGTTCATACATGTTCCTTTCCTTCGTCGTGACCTCGGCTAATCATCACCTACACCTACTACATTTTTCCAGTGTTTGATGCATTTTATGGCTGTTTCATAGGCGTACCAATGTAATTCAGAAAAGAGAACAGAAAATCGTACTTATTCAAAACAAATAAAAACTATGTGTGGCGCGTAGTCTAAGACATTTCTGTATTCTTGACTACACCTTGACAGTCGGACCCAATGTTTACATTACCTGCCACGCCTCTTGCCGCTTCGCCGACGTCACGCCCGGACCAAACTTCCTTCCAACACTCTGGCGTTTGTTTTCACGAGTTCTGTCAAAAGCAGGACCTCGTCTTTAGTCCAATTAGGTTTTCTCTTCTTTATCTCAGACTCCGACATATTTTTCACAATGTATTACCGCGGTATCTCAATGTGTCGTCTGCCGTAAATAGCAAAAGGGAGATCCTAACGAAAGCCATTTTCACACCTTTTTATAAAAGAGTTCCGCCGGAAGTCTAAAAATAACTCGGATTCACCCTAGTGATCACGCGGGTATGCACTACGAAAAAAACTTAGTTTGTCTTTGGAAACTTAGCTAAGTTTCTGACTTAGTAGCTTTATGAATAGCATCTTAAGTCTCAGACTTAGCTAAGTCAGTTTTAAAAAACTTAAGTTTTCACTAAGGAAAAATCTTAGTTTCTTTATGAATACCGCCCCTGAAGTATGATCAAACTTAACGACCCCACTCCCCACCTCCTGTTTAATATGCAGCCTGCCACGTCATTGTTTGTTTGTTTGTTTCTTGTTAACGCCGCACTCAGCAAATTCCCAGCTATGTGGCGGTGGTCTGTAAATAATCGAGTCTGGACCCGGCAATCCAGTGATCAACATCACGTGCATCTATGCAATTGGCTTACGTTAGCTTGTGTCAAACAAGTCAGCGGGCCTGGTAACTCGATCCCGTTAGTCGCCTCTTAAGAAAAGCATGGGTCGCTGAAGATAACCTGTAATTGTAACCTGGATCTTCACTGGTCTGTCTCCTATGTACATGGGGTAGACGTAGTATAACATTTAAGTTATTATGTTCATATTGTTTCTTTTTACTTCAGAACGAGGTTGTTGGTTTCCCGAACTCGGACAAACGAGTCCTGGAGGACGATGAAGCGTCGAATACAAATGGCTGAGTCTAAGAAAAAGATGGCGGTTGATGACAAGCTGAAGAAGAAGGAAACATTTGACGAGTGGCTAAACCGGAAGCGGAAACAAGAGAAGCGTGACAGCCGTGAGTCCGACTCCGAGGACAGTGTTGACAGTGACAACGAGGGAGGTAACTCTCAAGCCTTCAACACCTGGTTGAAAGAGCAACGAGAGCGGCAGATTACCCGGCCTCAAACGGTAACTGTGGCTGATCTGTACAGACGACGGACTCGCCCTCTGAAAGGACTGGTGGCCGTTACTGACCACATCGACGTTACGCTAAACCACAACGACAACATGGTGGCGCATAGGAACTGGCGTGAGAGGAAATGTGGCGGAGGAGAAGTAGAGCAGACGACAGGGTTGGATGAGGAGAAGAAAAAGGTTGAGGAGAAGAGGCAGAGCTTACTGGCAAGAGCTGTGTCGTATGACGAGTGGATGGTGCACACGGAAGAGAGGAAGCGGTTGATGCAGAGGATACTGAACGCAAACATGACGGAGCTGCAGAAGATCGAGGAAGAAAGGCTGAAGAAGAGGGTGTCACGGCAGGTGTCGTATGGCCAATGGCGGGAGAAGGTGGAGAAACAGGAAACAATGGACAGCACTGCGCAGGGAACGACAGCGCATCAAACAGGAAGAGGAAGAAAAACGTCGAGGCGATTTCCGCAGCAGCGCGAGTGTTCCTCATGATATCTGGATGAAGAAAAAGGAGGAAGAGAATAAGATGAGGACGGAGAAGGAAAAGGAAAACGTGAGAAAGGTCAAGGCCAGACCAAATGAGGATAAATCTGCTGCGTTTGACCGATGGTTGGAGAGAAAGCACAAACAGGATATGGCAGAGATTCAAACGCAGATTAAACGGGAGAGAGATATGATCAAAGTCCTAAGAGACAGGCGATTGGCTTCCGTCTCCACTTGTTGATACAGGGTAGGTACATATGGATGAAGATCTGATCTTCATCTCTTAATGTGTTGATATGACCAAGGCAATTGGTGGATGTCGATACAACGAGGTACATCATACCTGCAGAATAACTCGACACCTCCAAACCTTTGAATACAGTGTAGGATAGAACTGAAGGAAAGCACATGGGAAGACTAACGCCTCACCAGGTTTGCGGGGGTAAATCTGAATCCTGGATGAAGACTGAACTCCAAATGAAGATCAGGAACTACACTTATGGTTACTTCAGACGAACTTCGAGATAGGAAAGCGACTTGATACTCAGGAATGCGAATGGTAGAACTAGAACACATTCAAACTACCTTTCACTATATGCACGTTTCAGAATGCTGGATATTGCGTTCCTGTCTGTTATCAGGTGACGAAGAATGCAATCCTCTTCGAGCACATCATGGTGTCTTCGCGACAAGTGTATATCCTCCGATTAACAACTTATTATTCAAGGAGAATGGCGCTCAGAGTTGCTCATGCAGGGTGCACAAAGCGATCTTATCGCTAAGGTGATCGTAACTCCCATACAGACTTTCGGCTGGAGTAGCGCTAAGGCTTCTTTGTACAACGGCACCCAGTGCGCCTTCGTAATGGAGGCCGTGTTGGAGGGAGAGTGTGTCGTGTGTCATGTGACTTGCACGACACGTGGACGATGTAGCAATCGGAATATATCATTTGTAGTAAAGGCACCATTAAATACCAAAAGACTTGTTGACACTCACTATTGGGATGTCTACGTATACTTCTATGCAAGGAAACATTTATCTGTGTATGGTTTAACGGGGTTTCACGGAACCTGTGTTCGGATCTAGATGGGACACGTGACCAGAGGATCCAGGAAGATCCAGTGTTGGAGTGTGAGTGTACGAACAGTGTACATTATCAACATGCATCTTAGTGCCATTTGACTTCATTTGGATGGATTTATTCACAAAGAACAGAATTATTCACAAGAACTTTCTATACTTATCGGACAACCTCGCTCATGATTATGATTATGTCCCAATACTACTTAATTCCATGAAAACCTCAAAGTCCGGGAGAAATTAGAATATGAACTGTCGGGCAAAAAAGGCATACACTTGAAAATTTGATTTGAAACATTCCAAACATTATCAAAATGTTACTGGGCTGATAACAGTCGACGAAAGATTCGTAAATACATCTCTGATACCCGTAGCAAATATGTCACCATCGAATAACTGTTTCTTTACTTCTTTCATTTTACCTACCGTGAGTCATGGGTGTATTATATGTTTTGACCGGCACTTTAACTTGACTAAACCGTTGTTCGAAACACACTGAGTGTTCCGAATACATTCGAATGTATGTCGAGTTACCCGTGGTGTGTCGGACATCAGTGCCTATACAGTGATTTTAAAGTGACCATTAGGTTCTTACAGGTCACTTCGAGATATCGGAGTTCGAATTAACGAGTTATATATTATTTTTAATGCCGAAACATTTGATCACTTGTTCGTCGGGATGCCTCGCCCACATCGCTGTCCAAAACATATACAGTTGGCAGAACCGATGGACGGGCAGGAAGTGCTCACCCCTATCCTCCTTTTAGACTCTTTACTAGACTAGACTCTCAATGTGTTTTGATCACTTCATAGTGCGTCCCCTCTCCTGTACAATCTCCACCTCTGCATGCACTTTTGTTCTTAGAAAATGAGAAATTAATTCAACATCACGCACAGCTTGCACTGCCTGCTGAATTCACGATCGTTGACAGGAACGGGGAAGGGGAAACCGACGCATTAGGCATCAGTATTCCTGGAATAAGTTTACTTTGTCTAGTTTTATTTTCAACTGTTACGAATTCACACTTGACCTTCTTCGCAACTATTTGTTCAAATGCATGATTTTATGTGCGCTTCTCTCACTACCACATCGTATTTCCCTGAAACCACAATTTGCGTCGACGTCTTTGTTTACCCCTGGCAGTGTTCAGTGTGCAGCAGCCATGGCTCTGTTGCTTGGTACTTATTCTGCATAAGAAATGCAGTTACCGTGACGATACTTTACCCATTTGTAAAACTGCACATAAGCCGTATGATATGAAATACATCTTTAGAAAACAGAGTCTTTGTTTCTTTTCTAATGATCGAGTGAATGTTGTTTTACAACGCCGCAATATTAGAGATATATGGCGGCGGTCTGTAAATAATCAAGTCTGTACCACACAACCCAGTGTTCAACAGCATGAGCATTTTACGACAAGTAGTCAACCCTATTCTAGGTCATAAACGGATAAGCCCGATCGGCACCCGGGACGAATCGCCTAGATATATCAGTGTGTTGTTTAACGCCACAGGGTTCCAGCTATACGGGAGCGGTCTGCAAATAATCGCTCAACAGCATGAAACATCGATCTACGCAATTGGATACGATCATGTGTCAACCAAATGCCGAAAATCAAGTCGTACCCGCATGTTCCGGGGGCGTGGTGGGCGAACTGTCTGAAGCGCCAGGCTAGTGATCCAGCGAGCTTGAGGTGTATGTTCACGGCTTTGTGACATATCAACTTTGGTTTTAAGTTTTATAACCGCCGGTTCCTTGTATTTCAGATATTATGTTTCAGTACCCATGCTTGACTTAAGAGGCAGTGGTTGAGTAACTTTTCAGTTCTTTTTATCTAGCATTGTCTTTTTTATCCAACTCAACTTCCTGGGGAGTATTCAACTCATGTAGCCTGTGAGGCGTAGCGAGTTATCACACAACCTCATCCTCACAAGGTACCCATTCGCAGCTAGGTGGACTGGGACACATAGACACAATATTTTGTCCAGTGATACTGCACGTTACTATACCCACAACTAGGTGTCTGCACGTGTTCATGTGTCCACCATCTGGTCACCTACCATCGGATGAGTGGGTTCTGTTAAGTGCACAGGGTTGTCTACTGCACACTAGAGGTTGTGACAACCCTGAAAAAGCCTGCAAGTAATGTTAGCTCCAATGTTTTTACACCCGGTAACTAGTGAGGATCGATCCAAGCACCTTTCACTAACTAGCGCGGCGCCTTAGACAGCTCGCCCACTTTGCTCCCAAAGTTACTTCCCTTTACCCAATGCTTTCGGCTAAACAGCGGTTCGCATGGAAATCTGAAGGACGTTGAAACGAGAGACACGAGTTACCTGAGATGTGTACCGATTGATTTCTAAAATCTGTACCCGTCTGTGAAAGGGTTACATTGAAAATAAGTGTCAGGATACCGGGTTGGAACTTTTCAGGCTCGGTGATGTGTCGGTGATGTGTTATCATACAACGACGGCGTGAGTTGTTGCTGAGTTCAAGCCGCTGTTGTGACGGGCCCAGATTATTTCCCGGCCACCGTGACACAGATGGAATATTGCTGACGCTCCCTCAGTCACGCCTACATTCAGATCACGCTGTCTGTGATAACAGTGAATTGTAATGTGGTTGATTATAAAAGTGAAGTCACTGGACCATTCTCAGTTAGGAAGCTCTTCCACTGCGGTCCACTCCAATATGGTCGCATGCACTGCGCATTGGATTTTCATCATCTATCATATGCGATTTCATGCGTTATCTTCTCGTGCGTTTTTGGCTGAGTATTTCAGAACAATCGCGACTAGAGAACTGGCTTTGGTACCTGGACGAAGTGGCATGGAGGGGGCGTATTTTCGCTTGATGAAAGTTTATGGTCCGACATCATGTAATGTGGTTGATTATAAAGGGAACAGTTTTACTGGTTCTGTCGAAAATGAAACCGCCTCAAGAAAAGATAAAAGAACACATTAACTGTTTGATCGGCATTCTTGAAGTTGGTGAGTCAATAATGAAGCAGACAACTTCATGGATGACAAATTCTTGTTAATTGCATACAGCGACGTTTTGATGTAGTGAGTTGAGTTTTACGCCGCACTAAGCAATATTCCACCTATATTGCGGCGGTCTGTAAATAATCGAGTCTAGACCAGACAATCCAGTGATCAACAGCATGAGCATCGATCTGCGCAACTGGGAACCGATGACATGTGTCAACCAAGCCAGCGAGCCTGACCACCCGATCCCGTTAGTCGCCTCTTACAACAAGCATATGGGTTACTGAAGGTTCATTCTAACCCGGACCTTCACGGGTGTGACGGCTGACGAGCCAATACTTAAAGAACCGTACCGTTCACATGTTCAGAAAGATTTTAACCCATAAATTCCTCAAACAAAAATGGGTCATGTTAAAGTATCGTGTTGATAGACTGTTATTAGAAGGGACGAACCGAGCCGATGACTTCGCGTCAAATGTGTTAAAATAACATGTCACAACTGCGGGAACCAGATAAAGCCCCTCCGTCATGAGAACTGTCCCTGTTCGTAGAAGATACTGTAAATTTCAGTTCATTGGATGGATATGATATAATAGTGTCCAGTTCGAGATCGATCACTCTTTACCAGTCAGATTCCACCGGAGTTCTGTATTAAAGCTTACATAGCTGTCCCAGGATCTGTTGATATTTGGTTGAAATCAAATATGAATAGTGTTTTTTTCAACACTATACCTATACTTTAGGGTACACACACACAGCCAACATCACTATGCCTATTCCACGAAATATTAAGTGGAGGGTCCAAAACGCATACTTTCTTGAATGGGCCGATCCCGTTATAAAACTGCTGTCCACAAGACTGAAACTATTACAAGAGAGATTACTTCAATTTTCATACAGTCCACTTTCCCATCGTGTCAATATTACAACAGCTACACCCTTAGGTATCTACACTCCACAAATTTTGGGGTACAAGAGAGCATGCCCTTTTCCGAGAGCGCCATTTGAGTCTTGCTCAAATTTAAAGTTGCTTAATCGTGGTTACTAACATTCAAAGCGGTATTAAACCTTTTACAAGTTTAAGGAGCGGACAGAATGATGTCTGACGCTATTATGAGTTGAAGCGTTCGTGTTTGTTCAGACGAACAATTGACATGCCACTGCATGTGTTTGTGACGAATTTCGTAGATGGGCTACGACACGCTCAGCGTTTCGCGAACCCTCTAATCATCTCAATTTGACAGTGATCCATAAACTCAAGCTTCGGACAGTCGGAATGTAGACTGGGCTCATATTTTCGGAGAAGTTTCCATTGATTATGGACTAGAAATGTCACTTTTCTTTATTGTTTTATTTAACCATGTGTTAAGAAAACCCAGGAGGTTAAATGACTACGTCAGGTAGGTACTCTCCCCTACATGCAGGATCCAAATTCGTCTTCACGGCATGTCTTGGCAACGTCCCACTGGTATGGATGCCACATGACCTTGGCAAGATGATGCATCATACGTTCAAGGCTGGCTGGCTGAGTATGGTTTTACGCCGTTTTTAGCAATATTCCAGCAATATCACGGCGGGGGACACCAGAAATGAGCTTCACAAGTTGTACCCATGTGGGGAATCGAACCCGGGCCTTACGTTCAAGGAGTTACAAGAAAGACAAAAAAGCATCTTTCATACATTTGACTCTTTTTTTTCAAAATTCAAATTGCATTTCGAGGACTTAAGGATGACAAATGTTGGTGAGGCAGGACTTGCGTAGCCTTGCTTGCCAATACCTTAAAGTTTTGTGATCCACTCATAATGTTCATATAGGTAACGCTCATTGGACTGACTGAGTATGGTTTTACGCCGCTTTTAGCAATATTCCAGCAACATCACGGCGGGGGACACCAGAAATGGGCTTCACACATTGTGCCCATGTGGGGATTCGAACCCGGGTCTTCGGCGTGACGAGCCAACGCTTTAACCCTTAGGCCCCACGCTCATTGGACAACATGGTCTGGTTTCGTAGTGTGTAATCAAGTTTGTTTGTCAGTTGTGTAACGCCGCACTGCAATATTCCAACTATATGGCGGCTATCTGTAAATAATTGAGTCTAGACCAGACACTCCAGACGCATCGATCTACGCAAATGGGATACGATAAACCGAGCCCGACCACCCGATCCTGTTAGTCGCCTCTTACGACAAGCATGGGTTGCTGAAGACCAATTCTTGCCCGGGTCTTCACGGGTTAGTGTTATCAAGGTTATTTCCTGTCGTTGACGTTTAATATACAAACACACAAGTGGGGTCTCTGGGCCTGTCAACTGAACACAGAGAGTCAACAGATAACATGGCAAGAATAATGGTTGAGACATTTTATTCATGATTTTGAAACTGAATAAAACAAGATATATGTAAAATGCAGAGAGAAATCGTATGGACTCGTGAAAGTGTGAGACGTCAGTCTCGCTGAATGTAGCAAAGGCGACCACTGACGCCTACAGAAGGATAGTAGGCACTAGCCACTAAAGACACGGACATAATTACAGAACCAACTGTTATGATTAGATACATAGCAGATAAATAGAAGAAAAAAAAGATTGTAGAAACCCGTACGGTACCGATGTTGTTGACACATCGGAGCCTAAATGCAATCAATTAGAAATATTATGACATATTAATTTCTATATTTTGTATTAAATCTGTCTCTAGATAACGTTCCGAAAGGAACACACCAAATATCTTCTGAAAGTTTGTTAAACATTCACATTCGTGACACCTCGTGTCATTCCGGAACAATACGGATGACTTATAGCGCGTTACGGAAAGGCGCGAGGGATGACGACTCTGCATATGGAAAAGATCGGGTTTACTTCGGGGAAACGACAAAACTCGATTGGTGCCAAAGAGATGAGCTTAATGCACGAGTACACATTGTAGTAACAGTATATTTAACGGTTGGCTAAGAGGTATGTCCACGATTGGCTGTTTGGGTGACTGCAAGGAAGACAGACATCCTTTTGACTGTGGTAGAGGGGAAGATGACTTCTTAACTGGGGGCCTCCGTGAAATGTCGGAAATGTCCGACTGCTATAAGACAGATAGATCTACGTGAAGCAAAGTGAGCTGAGTGACCTATGTACACTAACAATGGGCTTCGTTAAAAAAGCTCATGAACATTTTCTCACATTTTAAGAATAAGATATTACACTAATTTCACAAATTATTATGTCAGTAAATGATCGGCGAAACAGTACAGTCATAGAATAAACAGACGGACATACAGACACACATCTAAATAAATCATACATTCTCTCAATGCAAGAAAACGTTTAAATCTTGGATTCCTTATATATTACAATTATATACATTGCAACTAATGAACACAGTCAATCAGTTTAGAAACAGCGCGAAGAATGGATCGCCATGTACACTGCGTTCCCGTCTACAGACACCTATGCGGCCGCGCATTACAGCTGTACCAGTTTATCAATCAGATCATGCTGTGGTTTTATTGAAACAACGAAGTCTCTCGCTAAGACATCTCAGTAAAACCCTATTTCAATTACGACAGACGTAAAGCTAAGATCCCTCTGGTTGGGGGTATGTATATTTCACAAGAATTACATATTTCTTGGACACATACAATTACATAAGACTAACAACACGGACGGTGGTGTAGTCTAGTGGTTAAAGCGTACGGTTGTTGCACTTTGTAACCATGTGGGGAATCGAACCCGGTCTTCGGCGAGACGAGCGAACACTTTGACCACTAGGCTACCGGTTTCGATTCCCCACATGTAAAATGTGTAAAGCCCTTTTCTGTCTCCATCGCCATGAATGTGCTAGAATATTGCTAAAAGCGGCGTAAAATCCAACTCACTCATGATAACATCAGCTACGATAACCTCGGAGCCAACAGCCAACAAACAATCAACAAGTAAGCGTGTTATCACATCTGAAATGTCATGGATGTCAGCAATAAGTTCTCTTAAACCGCCTCATTACTTACTGTGTCGTGTAAAACATATCTAATAATAAAATGTGGTACGCATTTAAACACCCCATTCAGAAATTCAGTAATGGCCAGAAACCAAGTGATGGTCAAACATTCTATATGTGTGAGTGAGTGAATTATGAAGTTGAGGGCCGGATAGTGACCGTCAAGTGCAGACAATACGTATATTACAGAAAAGACGAAACAGGTGTCATTTTCAGCTGATATAGAAAGTCGCACACGATGCTGCTAATCAGAATAAAGCTTAATAGAGCATATGATTCATTTCAAGACACGAGTATTCCATCAAGGTAAATATACGAACGGAAAACAATTCAATATCAAGCACATACTATCATGAGATAACATTTTTTTATGAAGGTCATTCGTCCAGAACGCGCAGAAGTTCAAAGAGAAGCTAACCTCGCCATGGACGCAAATATAAAAAAGAATCGTTTGACGAAGAATAAAAGATTTGATTGATAAACTAAACTTAACGCCTCATGGACAGGGAAATACTTCCTGTGAGAAATCATTACTCGAAGTAAAATATCCAAATCTTAGCTCAAAATACCGGAACAATCACACATAAAACCGAACCTATTTTGATTTAATTGAAATTTTAAAAAATACAGTTAAAGCTTATGAAAGATTTTGCTTGCATTGCTAGAATTATTGAATTGTTAGCATGACAACTAATTCTACACCAGACATTAAGCCGGCATGACAATCCGGTAGCCATGACAACAAACTTGGAATTTGTGTTCCCAAAGAAACAAAATGCTGGCAATGCCTACATGTGTAGTAGGCGCTTCCACTTGCATAGTTGGATTCGACTTCTGTAAATCTTTAAAATGCCTCTTCAATTTTCCGTCATAAAACTTCGCACTACTAAACGCGCTAAAACAAACATGTATAAATATAGCCCCGTATGTACATTACAGTGAATTTAGCACTTACAAACCGGTTTGGTTTTGAAATGTCATGTGCAAATACTCAACGCGAACGAGATTTGGAGTTACCTCCCTTAGACTAGAACGTTCTCGTTTTATGTCCCGTTTTTTCTCTCCTTATAATCAAGTGAAAATGTCATTCACATATTGAAATTAATTTGCTGAATTAACTAAACTCAATTGAGCACCATGTCAAGTCGAAAAGTAGATATCCAACATTACCTTTGAATGTTGAATGTCGGGAAACCATTTCAACACGTTCGCTACCTGTGTACAGAAAACGATCCAAGAGATGAGCAGCTCCGCCAATATACAAGCCACATTTCTTAGGCGAGCAAGCAAATAGAAAAATAAAATGTTTACCTATTCAACTATGGAAACATCTTAGGTTCACTCTCGGTTCACTTCGGTTCAATCGATGAGAAGATGTTTGGCGTCAGACACGCACGTGCAGCACACGCAGACACGTCACATTCACCCACACGGCGGACATGCATGACACACACACGTGAGACTCATTCATATCACGGAATGCACGTGCATGTCAAGAGAGCACGCTGTCTATGTACAATTCGAACACTCGTTATCACATTAGAAGAATATTCCTTTTGAAAATCTGGAGCAATGGACCTTTTATGAAAAGGCCTTTCTACAATATTCACACATTTAAGTTACAAATTACTGTCTGTAAATGTAGGTTTGAATCATCATCGTCACAATCATCATAATCATCATCGTCACAATCATCAACGTCACAATCATTATCATCAACAAGTGGTCCAGTCCATTTTTTGTGATAACATTACAGTCACGTGACTTGAAATCGACATATCCCATTGGTTAAAAGCTCCTGCAACGAATCCTCGCTTTTCACAGGTCCATTTGTAAACAAGCACGAATCTCGCGTCACAGTATTATGCTCATCACCATCACAGAGCACGTCAGCATCAGATCCACTGACACTCATTCCCGTCAACTCACTACGTGCTTCCCGTGGAAACCGACGTTAATGACGTCACATCCGCCAATCGGAACACACCAGTCGAAGTTCGGATTGTTTCACAAAGTGCGTTGCCACGATTTGATCAGTGCTTAAAGTTTGTCAAGTCACTGTCTTCTCTCTTGTGAACTGATCCGGAAAAGTCGAACACTTGCATCCATATTGATGTGTAGCACATGAAATATATTAACAGTACACTAATAAATAGAATTAGGATAGTTCTGTTCTTGCATATCCGGGCTTGGGCGAAGCGGCCGCTAGTTGACTTCACCCCCACGCCCACCGCTATCAATATTATCAGGGCGGTGCCAAGGAATATCAGCAAACCCCCCTGGGCGGGCACCTGCTGAAAGAGAGAAACGGTGATTAGAAGTGGACAAAACAGGTATATTGTTGTGAGTAATCGTTATTCTAGCACTATCGACCCGTGAAGGTCCGGGTTAGAATATTGATCTTCAGTAACTCATGCTTGTCGTAAGAGACGACAAACGGGATCGGGTGGTCAGGCTCGCTGACTTGGTTGACACATGTCATCGGTTCACAATTACGCAGATAGATGTTCATGCTGTTGATCACTGGACTGTCTGGTCCAGACTCGATTATTTACAGACCGCCGCCATATAGCTGGAATATTGCTGAGAGCGGCGTAAAACTAAACTCACTCACTCCAGCACTATCGTAGCATCAGTACAACCAGAAATTATTGAGAATTTAAAGATTGTAATTTTTTAATTTGTTTCACTCATTACTCACGTATTAAATGTGAATATTAGCAGAACATAACTCCAGATTCAAAGACAGGTGAACAGTTAGTATTTTGTCAAGTCACCATGGGCTTCAATGCAGGCTTCAATGCGGCGGAGCATACTATTGATCAAAGAAGTTAGAAAGTCGCGGTCCATGCTGTCCCAATATCGGACCACCTCTTGTTTCATTTCAGAAATATTTGTCAGATTTTTCTTATTGACACTTTCCTTCATAAGTCCAAAAAAACATTTTCTATTGGATTTAGGTCAGGGCTATAGCTTGGCCAATCTAATAATGTCATATTTTGGGTCCGAAACCAGGCCTGTGAACACTTTGAACGATGTTTTGGGTCGTTGTCCTGCTGGAAAATCCAAAATTTCCATAGAACTTTTTTGAGCAGATGGAAGTAAATGTCCCTCGAGAATATCTGTGTACCGCTCACTGTTCATATTCCCTTCAAATACACAGAGGGGCGTTGCCCCTAACACAGATATGCCACGCCACACGTTAAATTTCGGACTGTACTTTGGGCGCTGATACAAAGGTTTTTCAGTTTGTTTGGTCCAGAATTTCGGTGTATTGGGAAACAGCCACACAGAACTTTCATCTGAGAAAATCACATTGTCCCAGTTAAAATTTCTATGCTGTAAGCACCAGTTCAACCTTCGCTCCTTTTGTTCAGGTTTCATGATCGGTGATGGAATTCCTCGACTTTTCTGCCAACCCATTGCATGCAGCTCAGTTCTAATTGTCTCCCTACAGACAGCCACAGTTCCTCTATCAATCATATCCAGCCTTAAGTTTTCTAAACTCCTTCGTTTGTTTTTAGAACAAACCATTATCCATTTGCAATATTTTTCAAAACACGATGATAAACAGTGGACAAAGGGATGCCTGTTCTACTTGAAATCACTTTAGCTGATCTGATGTCCTTGTTATAATACTCTAAAATCAACTTCCTCTTCTCTAAATCATCAATACTGAGCATCACTGACAATGTCGTCTGCTAGCAAGTAAACAAAGGGGGATAACTCTTCACAAACTAATGAAAAAGGATTAACGGAGTTGTCTCTCTTGAATGAAACCAAGCACTTGATAGCTGGTCAAGGCTGTTTATACTAGAAATCCAATTAAACATATTCCTAAAATTCTCAATTATTTCTGGTCATACTATATTCTACATAATCAGATATTACAGATCAGGGCCTAGATTTTCGAAGCTCTCTTAGCGCTAAGATAGTCGTAAGTGCCATACATTAACATTAACTTACGACTATCTTAGCGCTAAGACAGCTTCGAAAATCTAGGCCCTGGCCTACAAGTGAATGAGATGTGGATCAAACGCCGTGGGGGAATGACACAGTCAGATAACAGAGGCTGAACAGTCAGATAACAGCACCAGGGTCCCGATCCACAAAGCGTTCGTAACGTTACAACCTGTCGTAACTCTATAGTTTATCATAGGCTTACGAATGTCGTAGCGCTACGAATGCTTTGTGGATCAGGGCCCAGAACACCCGATTTTTCTCATCTCAATACCTATATGTATACGAATGTGTCCATAAATATTTTTTTGTATATTGAATTAAATAAGGAACCTAACGTGGTGGTTATAGATGCTACCCAACAGAATTTAAAGAACATACATTTCTTCCTTCTTTCATATCTAACTACATGTATATAGTATTTCGCACTCTTTAGCAAAATTGCAACAATATTACGACTTGGGGCACCAGATATGGGCTTGACACATTGTTCCCGAACAAGGGCTGTCGGTGTAGTGTGCGACAGCTTTAACCACTTGCCCACCCTTTAACTGTTGTGTTCGTCTTTCATACATTACAATAGTAATATGAATGAATTGGTTAAACTCATTACTCCTCGATCTTGTAAACGTTTTGTGTTAAGGCTATAAATAAACATTCCGTTTAGATTTACCTTGGGACATTCTGGCACCTTCATGCGCCTGTGCGGCTGACGGACTTCAATGTCGTCCATCTCCACGAACGTTCCGTCACGTGACTTGACGCACCGCCCACTCGTGCACGTGGAGTTCGTGCGATACTTGTCTCTGCTCCGCCCTATCCCTCGCTTCAGGCAGTAATCCGGTCCACTGATCTGTGCTACGCTTAGTCCGCGACTGAAAAAAGTACTCACAACTTTAGGGACATGACGTGAAATAGTTGCGTCGATATGTTCATTTTTTCTTTGTTTGTTGTTTAACGCCTCACTCAGCAATATTCCAGTGATTGATATCATGAGTGTCGATCTCTGCTGTTGAGATAATATGGAATGCACCAACCAAGTCAGCGAACCTGGGCCTAGATTTTCAAAGCTCTCTTAGCGCTAAGATAGTCGTATGTGTCATACATTAACATTAACTTACGACTGTCTTAGCGATAAGAGAGCTTCGAAAATCTAGGCCCAGATCACCTGATCTAGTATGATGACCTCAGAACCTGGGTTGGATTTGACGTCATTGTGGACAGTATTCCAGTTTAACCAGGCCAAGGAATATCAGCAACACCCATCCACCCACCCCTCACCCCGCGATGCCAGGTTACTGAGGGGGTGAAGACGGAAGAAATGCAGTCTCAGACGTTTAATTTGAACTGAGTCCGTCAAAGTGAGTGAGCTTAGTTTTGCGCCGCTTATAGCAATATTCCAGCAATATCACGGCGGGGCACACCAGAAATGGGCTGCACATTGTACCCATTTGGGGAATCAAACCTCGGTCTTCGACGTGACAAGCAAACACTTTAACCACTGGGCTACCCCACCGGCCCGCTTTTCGTTAAAGTGAGTGAGGGACAAAGCGTTAACCCCGCTTTCAGTATTATATTCGGAGAAATGTAACGGTTTCGTCTTTTCATTACAGTCACATCGACAATTTAGTTAATACCCAGTGACATATTCAACCAGAAGGTTAAAAATGATATTCCAGAACAGGGGAAATAACTCTGGAACCTGCGACAGTATATCATCCTCGGAACTTACTTGAGCATTCTACACCGGTGTTCACTCAGTCTCGCTCCCGCTGTGTCCAAATCCCGGACATCTTTCGCGCTCCACAACCTCTCCGCTACAGCTGAAGCCCTTGGCCTGAAAATACAATTTTCAATTTACTTTAAGTTCAATTCATTTAACAAAAGGAATACCCACGATTCCAGGGCACTAAAATGAAACAGACGAGGTATTCCTTCTGAACAAAAAACCCGCATCTGTGGTATAAAGGTGGCTTCAAATCAGACACCTCGTAAGGATAAAATCGAACACCGTTTTGACATTCGCTTGACAGGCAGTCCCCGGCGTATGCTGTGGAACCATCGATAAACAATAACACTTACACGTGTCATTCTGCGGAGCAAATCATGGCCAATCTCAGAAAGCATCTCGGCAGGAATTGCGTCAATTGCTGTTTCTTCAATATGAAACTCCATGACAGAAAGTGCTGAAGAAGTGCTCAATAAATGTCTCTGGTAATTCAATAGGCAAATACACCGTCAAGCCCGAAACTCAAAGAAGTAATTGAATCTGGCAACATATCAAACTGAAGTGTGATTTGAGGGAATTGCCAAGAATCTCCTGATATCTTGCACATTAAACTGGGGAAAATTTTCGATGAGGAATACAAATTAATTCCCATAGTTTGACACTTCAATACCAAAGGAAGCCCGTTTTTTTACATAATCTCCTTAAATTCAGGCAAAATTGGGGGGACGAAAGAAAGTGTTATTAAATTTCGGAGTCAAATGACATTTATATTTTTAAAACAGACAGCAATTATTTTTGAATTGGAAAGCCAGCTGCATATGAATCGGATCCCATCATTGAGTGAGTGAGGACATTAAAATTCCAGTGGAAAGTAAGTTAATGATGAAGACACGTTTGAGAGTAGGTATTGACCCGGAGGGCATCAGCAAAACAGTTTTGATGGAACAAACTGAAGGCCCTACGCCTTCCTATTCCCATTCTAATCATCGCGTCATTTCCTCGCTTGGAACATTAGAATCTCGACAGACTTGATTTCCCTAAAGAACATTAACGTGCTCGCTCGATGATCAATAAATATCATCTGGGAGAATGATAATCTCTATGCGTTAGAAAAGAATACATCCAGCAAACAACATATAAAATCTGACGTAAGTTGAATAAAAAATATCAAATTCTTTATTCAAATATCTCCTTTAACATGTTTGGTTTTGAGACGACCCCCTTCTATTACACTCACCACAACGTTGTCATCATGTTTTCGTTGTCGATGTATTCCGACCACAGACAGGCCTCGCCACCCAGTACCTTCTTCTCGTCTATCATGTAACCTGGAGATAGGGGAAGACTATATATACCACGGCAAACAAGAGGCATCAGGGTATGACACATCAAACCTCACCCCACTCCGCCCAACCCTCACACACAAACACCCCGGTCAGGGAGAACCGAATATTGAGTTTGGCTGCTTTTACTTTTACTTTCAATACATTGCCATTGGGTATTTTCAGTTCAGCGAAACCCGTGAAGATCCGGTTAGAATTGATCTTCAGTAACCCATGCTTGTCGTAAGAGACGATTAACGGGATCGGGTGGACAGGCTATCAGACTGGGTAGACACATGTCATCGTATCCCAGTTCCGTAGGTCGATACTCATGCTGTTGATCACTGGATTGTCTGGTCCAGACTCGATTATTTACAAACAGCCGCCATACAGATGGAGTACTGTACTTTTTGATCGACGTTAAATAAACAAACAAACAAACAAACAAAATCGGTTCCGCGAAGTAAACATCAATGATGTTCAATATTATTCTGAAACCTACAGCACCAGTTCACCGCTAAACTGGTTTGTACAGCAAGTTTCATCCAGAAATATTCAACGGTTTTGAATATGAATTCCTCTTTATTCTACAGAGTGACAGCTTAAGTTGTTGTGACTAGACAAGTATTGACGTAAACATTGACGATTGTTGCCAAGGATAAACATCTACGAAAGAGACGTCAATTGATATTAATTTGTTGTAAATGTCAAGAATTATAAGCATACCTAAATACCGTCAAGTACTAATCTGGTGTCCCTGATATGAACGTGAGAAATATAATACGGCTAATGTATTGCACAATCACCTCAATGGCGCCTGCGATCGAATACAGCATATTTGAATGACATTTACACATAGGCCGTATCAAAAGCTCAATGATATTTTTAGAATAACGGAGACGTGGAAAGAAGTGTCAATGGTGTCATACTGGCTCCCACATAATGGCGTGTAACGGACCACCTGGTGTTCGTGTGTTTGTAGTTAACGATAAAGTATGAATGAAATGTAAATATATGAATGTGTGACATTAGTTAATAAGTTGGCTTTTATCGGGGCCTTTTGCCATGTTTTGTTTGCGTATGAGGGTTTTGGCAGTGACGAAGCAGTAAAGGGAGAACGGTTTTGCGTTTGTACAAAATCACTTTTCATAACTGATTTATGTTAACATAATACTTATAACATATAAACATGTCAATAGCACATTGATTTACGTACACAGTGAAACTCTCAAAATGATTTATGGTAGACATGTGGAGGACATTGCCAAATTTGAATTGACCAGAACTAGAACGGTGTCTGTTGCGGTTCCGTATTTCGACCTGTACCAAATGTTCTGGACTAGTCTCGGAATATATGAATTAAACTGAAGACCAATTCTAACCCGGATCTTCACGGGTACCTGACTATGTAAAGGAGGGTTGTGAAAGAAGGTTGTCACGCTCACCATCCTTCATCGCTGAAACTCAAAAACATAATTATTGAATGATCGCTGAATTAGAGTTTAAAAACTCACCGAATGTGCTGTCTGCGGGGTCACATTGGTAGTATTTTGGCCACTTAGTGCCGTATTCCACGTGGTCGAGGTACCAACACGTGGCGTACACAACCTGGTAGCCCATGGAGATGGCTCGGTTCACGTCAGCCATATCGCCCATCCATACTTCAATGATGGTGTCGTTGGGAAGCTGCAAATACCAGATGACACATTATTCGTTTAAGCAACATGAAATACGTCATACGTTTCACTGAAATATATGTTTGTTCACTAATTAAATATTGCAATGTGTGTGAGTGAGTGAGTGAGTATAAGCGAGGTTAGTTTATTGATTTACTTATCTAATAATATTGTTTAAACGGATTTGCAGTTTTCAAATAATATCTCCTGCTATTTTGAATTACTACTACTACTACTACTACTACTTCTTACAATAACTACAACCATCGCTGCCATTACTGAGAATAAAGTGTGTGTTTTATTAATTTTCTACTACTACTACTACTACTACTACTACTACTACTTACAATAACTACAACCATCGCTGCCTTTACTGAGACTAAAGTGTGTGTTTTATTAATTTTCTCCAAGCCCTTGCTAATCATCATCATCACCATCATCATCACCATCATCATCATCACCTTCACCTCCCGATGCATGGTGCGACTGAATATCTACATACTTTTTATCAGCTTGAACCATAATTAAATCACCACGTTCAACGCCGTGTTCAAGTATTCGCGTGACACACCAGCAGAATGGGGACCCTGTGGCCACGGACAACAGCACGCATAATGAACGTGTTTGTTGATATAATCATCATGACCACGTTTTCATGTCCGGACAGTAATTAAGATATCTGATGAAAATAAGCAATACCGAGGCCAACGTTCTGAGAATTGTTCTTACCAATGGTTATGAACAATGCCCCTTTCATGCGTTCACACTATTGACTGGTAGCCTCGATCTGAATCTACACAAGCGCCTCGCTCTGAGGGTGGATGTTTGTTGATATCACAAGCAACACTGCTTCAGCCACTGGCGTACGAGGACTCTTGGAGGACCAACGATCCAATTTAGTCGCCTGACAAAAATCAGTAGCGCAGTGGGACATATTCAAACCGGGGCCTCGCGTGGAGCTTCGCTTTGAGGGTGATAAATTAAGTCAATAAACTAAAATTGTAACGACCACCCTAAAGATTCAACACGCGTAGTCAGGGAAACCATTAAAGAAATTGGTTGCTTAGTTACGGATATTTTTTCCACCGATAAGATGTGTCGCTAATATATGCCTGTTGCAAGTATGTGAGGCGATAGAGAGACAAATACTCGTATAGTCTTGAAACGATCGATATGTATTTTCTAGCCACACAGATTAATGCCACTTTGATCGAGTGAGTATGGTTTTACGCCGCTGTTAGCAATATTCCAGCAATATCACGGCGGGGGACACCACAAAAGGGCTTCACACATTGTACCCATGTGGGAAATCGAACCCGTACCTTCGGCATGACGAGCGAACGCTTTAACCACTAGGCTACCCCACCGCCCCAATGGTGCTTTGAACATCATGTCAATTATACCAGTGAGTCAGCCCGAAATGAATCAGATCTCAACCCACGGGTATGGCGCTTACAAACCTCGAAACAAACGAGAACAAACCGGGATTCGAACCTAGTACCATAGGTTTCAAGCACAGCGAACTGAGGGGTTCTGGCCGACTGGGCCACCGGGCCTTCTTCAGACCCCGTTTTCAGACTTTCCCCTTGCACTGTATTATTTCCCCATCACTACATTGACTTTTTTATTTTTATTATTATAGGATATTTATATAGCGCACATACCCACGCAACTAGTACATGCCCAAGGCGCTGACTTCCGGTTACCTCAATCCCGGGGACATTAATCAACGATGAAGGAAACAGTAATGTACAATTAACTGTTGATACCACCCCCAGCACGCACCTGTAGGTCGTTGTTCATCACTTCCTGCCACATGACGAACTTGACGCCATCTTTCCGATGTTTGCCGATCTCGCGAAGGTCCTTCATGATCCGGTTCTCGTAGTACTCGTAGACCTTCCTGACGTCGAACTGGCTAGAGTAGTAGCCGTTGTAGGTTGACTGCGGGTTGTCGGACTGCTGCTTGGACAGCTCCATTCCGAAGTTGACAACGTCGGGGTTCGATTGCCTGAAAAGGTTTGAAACACCACTGAAATATCTGTGATGACGGTGTTATTGTATTGTCCTATTTAAATTCGCTTGCATTGTTAATTTGTTGCATTGTTTGTTGTTTAACGAGGCACTCAGCAATATCCCAGCTATATGGCGGCGGTCTGTAAATAATCGAGTCTGGACCAGACATTCCAGTGATCAACAGCATGAACATCGATCTACGCAATTGGGATACGATGACATGTGTCAACCAAGTCAGCGAGCCTGACCACCCGATCCCGTTAGTCGCCTCTTATGACAAGCATGGGTTACTAATTCTAACCCAGATCTGAGGAAAGACGACAGCAGGCACAGGCACTGAACAGCTTCGTGTTTGATACTTTACATACATATAACTTTAGCGTATGTAACAGACTAAACATATTCAGACTAACTCATGATTCATCTCTATATACCCCGACAATAAGTGATACTAGCAAGTAGCAATCACATTGAAAGGTCAGATCTAAAATAATCTGGCCCTTACATTCAATCAATGTTTTGATGGGGGGTTTCGGTTTACACCCCATTAATCTCCGAGATAGAGAAAGTCTGGCAATGTAATTTGATTGCAATAGTCTCATGAAACCAGAATTCTTTCTTCCTCGGCTATCATCTGCTGTATATCAAACAAAACATAAGGATCAAAGAACCCCATAACATACAAATTCATATTTTTGTATTACAAGATCGGATGACGATGAAATATCAACTACTTTTCAATTGTGCGGGAAGTCTCGCAGTAATGGCTTGGTAGTGCCGATTGAACAGCGGAATGAACAAGTTCGTCTTGGTAGTGCCGAATGAACAGCGGAATGAAGAAATCCGGCTTGGTAGTGCCGATTGAACAGCGGAATGAACAAGTTCGTCTTGGTAGTGCCGAATGAACAGCGGAATGAAGAAGTCCGGCTTGGTAGTGCCGAATGAACAGCGGAATGAACAAGTTCGTCTTGGTAGTGCCGAATGAACAGCGGAATGAAGAAGTCCGGCTTGGTAGTGCCGATTGAACAGCGGAATGAACAAGTAGTGCCGATTGAACAGCGGAATGAACAAGTTCGGCTTGGTAGTGCCGATTGAACAGCGGAATGAACAAGTTCGTCTTGGTAGTGCCGAATGAACAGCGGAATGAACAAGTCCGGCTTGGTAGTGCCGATTGAACAGCGGAATGAACAAGTTCGTCTTGGTAGTGCCGAATGAACAGCGGAATGAACAAGTTCGGCTTGGTAGTGCCGAATGAACAGCGGAATGAACAAGTTCGTCTTGGTAGTGCCGAATGAACAGCGGAATGAAGAAGTCCGGCTTGGTAGTGCCGATTGAACAGCGGAATGAACAAGTTCGTCTTGGTAGTGCCGATTGAACAGCGGAATGAACAAGTTCGGCTTGGTAGTGCCGAATGAACAGCGGAATGAACAAGTCCGGCTTGGTAGTGCCGATTGAACAGCGGAATGAACAAGTTCGGCTTGGTAGTGCCGAATGAACAGTGCAATGAGTGAGTGAGTGTGAGTGAGTATGGTTTTACGCCGCTTTTAGCAATATTCCAGCAAAATCTCGGCGGGGGACACCAGAAATGGGCTTCACACATTATACCCTATCGCCCGTGATATGACTGGTATATTGCTAAAAGCGACGTAAAACAACTCACTCACTCCACGTTCACACACTCGGTAAACAGCTAAACAGAAAACAGTACCAGTCTTTGACTGGCCTAATTGAGGACCGTTTCCATCGCCATGGCAGCCATTAGAATCCTCCATCAAGGGAATTAAGTGTCAAATTATATTACGTTTTAGAAACGATACTTAACACAGGCGAATCAGTTACGAATCTTCAAGTCGATACTGCTTACAGCCAGGTTCAACCACGAACTCTTTCAATTAAGTTGATTTAGCTCCACGTGTGGTGTGGTGCTTGTTGCCGAACCACTGTCTATCATTTATACTAGATCCCAGATGGTTGATAAATATTAGTGGTTTGTCTGTCTAGATATTCTGACGGGTCTTGTGACCTTGTAAAACCGTTGTTTAACTTCTCTGACACCTAGCTCTTCTTCATTAAGAGTGGCAGCTGGTTGCCACTAGGAAAATACGCAGAGAAGCCCCAGTGTTCAACGTGATTACTTCTTCATGAAATATTCACCTCTACAAATTAACAGACCTCGCTACGGAGGCCAGGAGCTATGACATATTGAAAGTTCAGGGTCGCCCCCATTACAATGTATTTCGACTGCTTCTAACCGATTCTCGTTTGTATTGAAGTCAATTATATAAAAAAAACAATTACAAAGTTCAGATTTACAAATGAAGTAGATTTTCTATTGAAGCGAGCTGAAGTTAACACAGCTTGGAACAGAATCTGAGTAATATCAGGTGGGTCTGTGTAATGTGGGAGAAAAGACCGAAGTTTCTTTATTTGGCGTTTGACCACTAAGCAATTATACTCCAGCGGTACGTAAGCGTTCTGAAACTGATAGATCGGATAATCCAGTCACTGATACGGTGACCAGTGACGTGGTAATATGTCGAGGTAAGATATTAGGCAAGATGTGGTAAGATATCGAGGTTAGTTGTCAAGGTAAGATGTCACGCTATTGAAGTAACCGTGCCTGTCCACAGGCCCTCGTGTCTTTGTGAGGATTTAAGATGAAAAGAAATATATTGTGTTTGAGATGACCCCCGACTCAAAAAGGCTTCACAGTACAATCATCATGGCAAGTTATTATGTATTGTACTGTGAAGCATTTCGAGTCGGGGGTCATCTCAAATTGTATACATCTTTTAAAAATCTTTAATCCTTGCAAAGACACGAGGGCCTGTGTGTGCCTGTCCACTCAATTTGTTTGGTCGAATTTTACGATCAGCAAAATAATGTAATTCTCACCAGTTTCATTCATGGGGACAAAATGCGAGTGAATGAGCTATTAGCAATATCACGGCGGGGGACACCAGAAATTGGTGTGACATTCACAGCTCCCTGGGGAGTCCACAACAACAGTTATCCTCTGCGAAAAACTAAATTGTGACCTGTTCGCTTCACACATGAGTGAGTGAGTTTAGTTTTACGCCGTTTCTAGCAATATTCTAGCAATATCACGGCGGGGAACACCAGAAATGGGCTTCACACATTGTACCCATGTGGGGAATCGAACCCGGGTCTTCGGCGTGACTAGCTAACGCTTTAACCACTAGGCTACCCCACCGCCCAGCTACACGCAAGAACACGCGTCTCCACTGTATATGTCGGGCATCAGTACCAGCAGAGACCATAATCTATTATATGGTCTCTGGTAGCAGGCATAAAAAACACCGCCATAATAGAATCCAGATAAGAAACACTTGATAACAGAGGATAACAGAAGCTGACCTCGCTGATAGCGGTCTAGCTATGTTACAACCCTCCCCGGCATGTATCAACACTAACAGGTTGCAAACTCATCTTGGGATATTCGATATTTTGGCTTTCATTGCAAGACGCCAGAGCGGTACCCAAGACCTGAGCTATGGATGCATGCTAACGGGGCAATACCGCCTTGCACCAAGCCCGTCTTGGGAGGTGGTCTTGTTTTAAAACGATCTCTCAAACGTAGCGGTTCCTCATAACTGTTGGCAGGGCTGGTTATGAGATGAAAATCGCTGCAACCTAATGTGCAATCAATAGGATCATGATGGAATAGAGAATCTTCTGTGATTTCTCAGCGTATGGTAATAACTACCCCCATCCCACCCCCCTTCGGTATGACAAGAGGCTGATTTAACTAGAAGTTTACCTAAACCAGACCCGAGTATAGATGGGTTAGTCTATACATTCCCTATCAGCAAGGTATACAAAATATACATAAATAACACTATCTTGAACCCAAACACATATATGAGGTTCTATTCGTATCCGAATCATTTCGCCACTTGCAACGTAAAATTTGAAATGTAACTCGGTATAGATGGATGCAGACAGTAACATGAACCGCTGAAGGCGTATATACTCGCCCCGTTAATCTTCTAAAATCACTACAGTCTATCTGGGCCTGTAAAGGTTTCCTAGGAAATTAGAGTATATAGTACAAGAGGTAAAAGTTGAATAACGAAAAAAACCTTAAATTTAATTTAGGCAAAAAATAAAAATTCTATTTGTTTCTTTCCAGACTTTTCCAGACTTGTTAATTATCAACTGTAACCAGAGAGCCAGGGTTTCTTTCAGTCGGCCCCAGGAGGAAAGTTCCTGTTTATTAAATACATCATTTTCCTTTCCCTTCGACGCAATGTTTACATAAATCTGCTCTTTGCTGTCTTCATCCAGCTGATGCTCTGTGTCTGAACGATGACTGATCGTCCCCATGTGACAATCTGCCGATGGTCTGCTGGTCCACACAGACTAGGCGTCCTTGCCGGGAGACAGACAACTTCATAAAACTCTCATCGACTTTTTTCACCCGGGCGCTGAAGGTTAGCACATGGCGGTTACGAGACCAGATAATCTTCTTTTATTGCCCTAATGCAATCTCCCTAACAATTTGGTAGCATGTTTGTCCATAAAACCGCGTGCCGTGGCCTCCGCTCGTACCAACTGATAGCAGGAGAGGTTTTACATAACCCTGGAGACTCCGGTCACGCCTACCGCGTTATAGCGGGGTGAGCAGCGCGCTTCTCTTATCAGGTATACTCACCACTGAAGGTCAGCTTGTAATGACTTCCACCGATTTCAGTAAAAGAGTAACTTTATCATGTGCTTTAACTGTCTACCAAGAATTCCATACCATTCAAAGAAATCGGAAAATATATACTACTTTCGTTCTAAAATGACCAAAAAAAAGTGAATACAAGAAATAACGTGCATAGGAGGTATTAGAGTGAGTGAGTGAGTTTAGATGTATTGTCACATTGGCAGTATTGCAGCCATATCGTTGAGGCATTAGAGTGAGTGAGTTTAGTTTTACGCCGCACTCCGCAATATTCCAGCTATATGGCGGCGGTCTGTAAATAATCGAGTCTGGACCAGACAATACAGTGATCAACAGCATGAGCATCGATCTTCGCAATTGGGAACCGATAACATGTGTCAACCAAGTCAACGAGCCTGACCACCCGATCCCGTTAGTCGCCTCTTACGACAAGCATGGGTTACTGAAGATCAATTCTATCCCGGACTTTCACGTGTATTAAGGCATTAGAAATCTAGCTGTTACAGAATAAGTATACGTACAATCGCTTGTAACATGATGTTACTGCTGTATCTAGTTTACTTGTCTCAAACTAATTTATATAAGTAGTAAAAGACGAGGTACCGCTGTAACATGTTCTCAGAAGTAACCACATGGCTCACTCTGCGGCAGCAGAGAATGGGTACCCGGAAGGATGAAATGTCAGCGTATTATTCGTGCCTAGTTCACACTCTTTTGACAAGTTGTGATAACCTTTTCATCCAAAAATTTACAAAATGGTAAATGAAAAGAATGTGTATTAGCTGTCCCCCAAGAGACGCACGTGCAGCTTCAAATGTACAGGAGTACCGCAGACCCAATTCCCCCAAACGATCGTGACAGTCCCTAGCCCGTGTAAACGTGTGGAGTTAACATAACATTGGCACTGTCTCCGCTCTCCAGAACGGACCCTACTCGACGGTTAATACACTGGTCTGATCGAATTGCAGTGTTCGAAATTTCGAAATTCTGTAAATACTATATTGATCATGCTACTTTAAGCAATAAAATGTTTTTGATGTTCTGTCAGTAGACCATCCATTATCATATTGACTGGAGTTCAGATGACTGTTTTAATGGTATGGTTGAACGCAGGTTTCAGCATACACCTCCCTATACATCACGGCCAGTCAGTCGAAAATGGGGGAAATGCCCCAAGGATTACCTGACATGTTTCGGTGAAGATTTAAAAGAGCGACTATCTCGAAAGTTGTTTGATCGGGGATACAAAATTACAAAACTTTCAAAGGGTGACACGCGAATTACATTTCCAAATGTGTCGCATCACTGATGTTCGATATGGCGTAGGCGACCATAAGGGCTGCACTTGTGCACAATCCATTTGTCTTTTGGACAATAAAATGTTAAAAACAAAGAAAAATGAATAATGTGTGATGCAATTCCCTACTTTGTCCTGTACTACGTTTCCTTGTGCGTGTGTGTGTGCGTGCGTGTGTGTTTTTAGGTGAATAATTGCCTTGCCTTTGTATGTGTTTGTGTCAACGGTAAGGCAGGATGGGCTCACGTTTCCGCCAACACCTGACGTCATCACTATTTGACAGCGATTCCTAAACACAGTCAACTCAAGAGCGTATCGATTTACAAGTATCGATAACTGAAAATTGGGGGGTCACACAGTCAATTTGCCAAAATTCAGGTCCCGGTAGCAGTCGCTACTCACACAATTGTACAACAAGAAGCAATTCAAGGACACCATAGCGGATTTGCTGAGTTTGTTGAAACTAAATACGACATGCTCGGTTTGAACCACGTCTGCTGTGCACAAAGGCAGAGGCTGCTGTCGCAAAGTAAAGAAAAACGTTCTAGAAGTAAGTTCGTTTTGCAGTTGGGGGCTGGGAAGTGAGTGAGTGAGTATGGTTTTACGCCGCTTTTAGCAATATTCCAGCAATATCACGGCGGGGGACACCAGAAATGGGTTTCACATATTGTACCCATGTGGGGAATCGAACCCGGGTCTTTAGCGTGACGAGCCAAAGCTTTAACCACTAGGCTACTGGGGGCTGGGAAGGGGGAAGGGGGACAGCCTAAATGCCCCAGCCAAAGAATTTCCCTCCAGTTGATAAATGCCTTTGGGTTTACGATGACACGCAGTTTCTATCGTCTTCTAGCAGAAAAATGGACTTGTTATTTGCAAATGTTTCCTGTCGCTTTTAACATGCTAAATGCCCCAGCCGAATTAGGAAGAAGGAGCATTAGCGAATCCTGATACGATAGGGGACACAACTTTCACAGCGAGTTAAGACATTTTACAAGTATCCAGTTGATAAATGCCTTTGGGTTTACGATGACACGCAGTTTCTATCGTCTTCTAGCAGAAAAATGGAACACTAAAACAAATGACTCGTGAATCGGTGTTTCATTTAATGTGCATACACCCTTGTAATACAAACCAATCATAACGATTTGAAACTTAACAATGAACTCATGCTCACTTTATTCGATTTATCTAATTTAAGATCGGTACGTTTTCAAGAATCGTACAATATGTAACTCTGATTTAAGCGGTGGAATGTTCTTGTTATTGTGCAATGTGAAATGATATTTGGAATATTGTGCTTCACTTAACATGCGACTTTTGTTTACAACATGCGATATGCAGCAATAGGTAAACAATACTAATGCGTGTCACTAACCTATTATCTATCGGGACCGGACCAGTATACCGTTTGTTGTGGACCTATTCTGACTATGCGCGCAGGCGGGGGGCGAGCTATGACTGCGACTGTTACATTTGTTAATATTTCACAAGAACCGGATTCTTAGGAAATGATAACTCGTTGTCATGCCGATGATGGCACCGGCACACCTGAGAGTGAAATCCGTCACCGCGGGGCAGTTATACACGCCCACTGCAGTGTTCACTGAGGGATATTTAATCTCTTTCCTTCTGTAGCTATAACATGTATTATTCTGAATAAATGAATATTCCATTTGGACAAGCTGTAACGAGACATTCGAGTTGAGTAAGGTGCGAGACATAGAGACATGACAACGTCCCGTGGAGGCACTTCGTCCACCAACAAATTTGTGGAATAATTTGCATTGCTCTGACTGAACAATTATAAGTGTTTACTCAAATAAAAAGACCAGCAAGACAAATCCCTATTAGAAATACACGCAACACATTCAATAAATACCGAGATCGGACATTATGATGTTAGGACATCGCGATCATTATGACCAAGAACGTGATGTCCTCGCATTACTAATCCCACGTGACGGACCAAACAGGTAGGCATCAATTCGATTTTTTTCGATGGATGAGGAGTATAATGGTTGTACCCCTTGCAATGTTTTGGCCGCTAACTGCCCAGATGGTTGTATAAACCGTTTACTGTGGCGATTATAGCGCGACCTAGGTATAAAAGAGCAGATATCGCAGCGTGGTCATTTCCTATTGGTCAGGCAGCTCCAACATACAATCTGTTAACCAAAGTGCCTCCCGGTCAGCACCGAGATAACGAACGTCAAGCCGATCTGTCTTTGTCAAACGCTTATTGAACGGGAGTGATTAAACTGACATGATCCGATCCGTGCTCAATGCTGTTGTGGAGGCAAAGCATTTAGTTTCAGCTGGCGACTTGGTTGTGGTGTCGTGTGACCAGTATCTGTCCGCACACAGGGTATTATCTCCATCTTCAGACTGTGGTCGCCCACTGGACATCCTCGGTGTATTCCGGAGACAATGACGTCATTTCAACCTATTCCTGTCCGTAATCGTTGCGATATATCCGTCAACCGGACCGCCATGCGTCTGCAGCAGACCCTCGGTAGATCTTCGCGCGACATTATTGACATGTGACCATCTTCAGGTAGTAATGTTCTTAAAGTGAGTGAGTGAGTTTAGTTTTACGCCGCTTTTAGCAATATTCCAGCAATATCACGGCGGGGGACACCAGAAATGGGCCTCGCACATTGTACCCATGTGGGGAATCGAACCCGGGTCTTCGGCGTGACGAGCGAACGCCTTAACCACTAGGCTACCCCACCGCCCCAATGTTCTTAAAAGGTGTCATGATGACCCTTCTTGATAACCCAAGGTGTCATAGTGATAACCCAGCATAAAACAAACCCGAAATATCTCTCAAAACATTCAACAGTTCAGCCTTCGTATTTTTACCCGTTTCTTCATATAGCCTTATGTGCATGCGTGTTCATGAAAAGACATCCCAAGACCTACCTGGTGTGTCGAACTCGGGCATAACTCGAATTCCTCGGAATCGGGCATAGTCGATAATTTCCGCGATGTCCTTCTGGGTGTATACAAAAGTCGGATGGAACGCACCCTGAAAACAAAAAACGAATAACTAATATTTGGCAGAAAAACAAGAAAAATGAGAAAATAGTCTGGAGCTGTCTGCGTGATTGTATTACAGCCAGCAATCAACACAACACAACACAATAGAAGACAACACAATGAGACACAATAGAATCCAATTACTGGCCAAACACTTAACCTACGCGCTAACTATTGGCAATAATTTCGGTATCGATTCCGTGATAGTTCTGTCTGGGGTCGGTGGTGGGAAACAGTTGAAGTCAATCGCATGGTCTAAGACTGATTTTCACAAAAGCATGAAAGAAATACAAGTCTGGATGAACAAACAGCTCAAGTCATAAAACACGACTATCGCTAACTGTGCCAGCAACTGAAGGCTTAAGGAAGGCCCATACCCATCCGCTGGGAAATATCGCCTTGTGTTTCTCGGTTGAGCCTGGACTATCGACGGAGATTAAAAAGGGAGACACATTTCTTCAAATGGAGATGAGCCCATTTCGCTGCATTAGCCCACAACACCACAAGTGATTAAAACAATTTTTACAAAGGTCTTAAGGGGTTGCGGGCTCCAGGCGAGGATGTTATCAAATTTTATAAGGTGTAGAAATGGCGCGTGTCAGGGAAATGGCGTACTTAACACGAAGCTCATTCTTCCTAGCAAGTCGTGGTTCAACATGAAAGAATAAAAAATCCAATCGCTCAACATAATGGAGATCCACTGTAATGGCCGCCACGGAAAACATGTACCGTAACGGGACATCCGGGCATTTTGTGGTTTAACCCTTTCCCCGACTGATTTAGAACAACGATAATTCCAAAATAGTTCCTTCTTAGAATTTATTGCAGAAATAGTGAGACTACTTTAAGATTACATCTAGACAGGCACACATTCTGGTGTGAGGACACATGGTATTTAGTATCACACTAGCAAAATCACAGCAAGGGAGTGCAGAAAATGGACCCATGTTGTGAACAGAACTCGGACTTTGGTCGTGGCGAGCTAGTCTGGCATACAGACCCTGAAGCAAATATATCCAAGAAAGCCCACGCAAGTCTAGAAAATGTGGCAAGTCTAGATTTACACAGCTTCTGAAAATGAAGAAAGTCTCAGGGCTCCTTTTCATTATATTTTTTTTACTATGAGCTTTTCATTATCTATTTTTTTTTTTACTATGAGCTTTTTTTCTGTAAAATATGTTCATTTCAGAGACTAGTTGTTAGTCTAGTGGCGAGCGAACGCTTTACCCACTAGGTCAGACATCAGCACAAACACGCGTTTTAAGGTTAACGTTCTGTTTCATCACTATTTGATCTCATGTAATTCTTGCATACATGCTTAGGATACAATCAGAATCGTGCAATGGACGATGGATTTAAGGAGAGATGTTCTGGAATTATGGAGTGGGGTAATTGTATTTTATTTCAAGATCAACGATAAGGAAAGCAAGCAAACTGGAATTTGATCTCAGAACGTTTTTTGTTATTAAAAAAACACACGAAATAATTCATGATACATAACGGCATTTCTCTCTCTTTTTTGCCAGGAACATCTTACATGAGTATCTTTGCATGTAGTCTGTCTCACAGTCCCTGAACCACATTATTTTCCCTACTGCCTAGCCCTTCCTGCAATGCTAAAGCCCTACATAAAGTCTAGATTTCCCCAGGTACATACTTTCCCATCTCACGGGGCTCCATTTTAACTTAAATGGGAATCTTTGTTACTATCCAAATTATATATATTCACAGACTAAGCGTTAGACTATTTTGTATGATATCCAGGAAATGATTGTTTTCGCTAAATAAAAGACCCCCAGGGGACCAAATAGATTCTCCATGACGACCCCGGGTCGCAGCAATGGAGAAATGTCATGTTAGAAGCCGACATCACTACCAGCGAAGCAGACCTCCTGGGAGAGATTCAGTTTCACCACGATCTAATTTGACCCAGTTAATTTGCCATATACGGTCATTTGTGTTACTTTTCTCTTGTCACTTGCGAGGCCGCCATTATATGGTCCTAAAGAGCTCTGAAAGAAACGTACGCAGATGTTTTCTGTGGAACAACTGATGTAAACATCGAGATATCTGTCAACCTGCTCATTTTGAGTCCTAATTTATATCCTAAGTATTGTTAAAGTAATTACGCGTTACACTTCAATTTAGTCTGCAAGAGATATATGTACGTTTTATTTCCTCGACGCTCACAGAGCGTCAACACCAACGAGGAGTGAGTGAGTGAGCTTAGTCTTAAGCCGCCTGTAGCAATGCCCCAGCAATATCACGGCGGGGGACACCAGAAATGGGCTTCATACTTTGTACCCTTTGTGGGGAATCGAACCTGGGTCTTCGGCGTGACGAGTGAACGCTTTAACCACTAGGCTACACCACCATCCCGGGCAAACGAAGAACCAGTGTCGATTATTCGCGAGAACACATTCGATTCGGCCTACAAGACAGAATAGTTGTGTAAATCATATCCAGGAATCAAACCATGGATGACACTGGGCGTTTGGCCCATTTTAAAAATAATATATTTATTGGTTTCTTCTGCGACTCGGAGGGAAAATAATTTTGGATTTTCAACATTTTGTAATCGAGTTTCACTGATAAGATAACGTTGTTCTATATATTTGTACACTTGTGTTCTCTTACACTGACATTAAAAATACGACCACATGCTTTCAGGTGAACAATGTGAAGGTTGTAGCCCAGTAGAGTCGAGTGAATCAGTTATTCGGTCAGATCTAGACTAACGCTTAGTCTCTGAATATATAATTTTGATTGTAACAAATAAACCCATTTAAATTGAAAATGAGCCCCAGGGACTGATTCAGAGACTTGTTTCAGTTAGGGCTTTAGCAATGCAAGGAGGTCTAGGTTGTTGGGAAAATAATGTGGTTCAGTGACTGTGAGACAGACTAGGTCAGATCGTATGTACATCCTTTACTGGTTAGCTGTGTTGTCAAAACGCCTCGTCTCAAACAGTATATTACTCTGTCCCTGAACAATAATATTTCACTTTCCGCTTAATCCTTTCAGCAATGCGAAAGCACTATAATACATATACATTGTAATATGAAGCAAGTCTAGATTTCGTTAGGTTCTGGATCTGAATACCCAGCTTCATGGAACACCTTTTCCACTTCAAATTGAGTTATTGGTTTCAAATTTACATATTTACTAAGCGTACTCTAGATAACACTTTATATCCAATCACAAAATTATATTCATTCAACTTAAAAAGGTTTAAGGACATCCGATTCCTTCTGTGTAAGAACCTGTCATGACTCTTGTACGTATGATATATACGTTGAAAAATGTTAATTTTTTCACACATTGTACCCATGTGGGGAATCGAACCCAGTTCTTCAGTGTGACGAGCAAACGCTTTAACCACTAGGCTACCACACCGCCCTACCTGTATGAGGGACAACTGCAGCGCTATGGTGAAACCAACGAACAACTGACCAGATCATAATCGTGGCGACCATTGGATTCGAACCAATGACATTAATCCTGATTGCTATGGGACACAACTCTGTATCTCTGAGTGAACAACCTGTGGGCCCAACGTCCGAGCGAGCGAGTGAGTGAGTGAGCTGGGTTTAACGCTGCTTTCACCTGTATCACTGTGTGCCACCTTAACGTGTAAAGATGACAATAACCTGAAGCGTTACCAATGTGTTGAAACACACAGCAAAGGTACACTGGACTTACTGACTGAGTTTAGTTTTACGCCGCTCTTAGCAATATTCCAGCAACATCACGACGGGGGACACCAGAAATGGGCTTCACACATTGTACCCAAGTGGGGAATCGAACCCGGGCTTTCGGCGTGACGAGCGAACGCTTTACCCACTAGGCTACCCCACTGCCCCAGGTACTCTGGAGACAAACTAAGAAACATAAAAGGGGCGAACTGGGATTCGAACCCATGACCATAGCCCAATGTATGAGTGAGTTTAGTTTTACGCCGCACTCAGCAATATTCCAGCTTTATGGCGGCGGTCTGTAAATAATCGAGTCTGGACCAGACAATCCATTGATCAACAGCATGAGCATCGATTTGCGCAATTGGGAACCGATGACATGTGTCAACCAAGCCCCAGTGCACGAATGTTTATTTCAGGTTAAAGCGCAAATACGTTGGGCATTTCCCTTTTTTCGCTCACAGTGGTATAAGCACCGCAGCTACCCACTCAAAGAATTAAGTTCAACTATTGAACAACGAATAAAAGTTTGTAGAACGTGGCTGAATGTTAGGTCAGAGAAAAAATATCTTAACATTATTGACTTTGCTGTGTTTTTTTTACACACGCCACACACAAAATAGGCAACGCTTTGAAAAAAGTAATTTCAAAACATTTCCTTTTTGAGTTTTACGATCACAGATCTGTCACATTGTTGCAGCCAAACTCACTGAAATTTCTCTCGCAATGTTTCTTTTCCAAAATACGGGGATTTTGATCTAAGAGTTGTTTGTTTTGCGTTTGGAGTTTTTACACTAATTCCCCCGATCTTGAAATGTCCAGGTAAAAAAACGTCTGAATGTTGAATCCGGATCTGCTAAAACGAACGGCAACGAAAGACATAATGATGACTTCTCCGCCATGTTTAACAAACAAGAGTTCAAGTCAGCTGATTAGGGAATAGTGCTTATTTCACTTGGCATAAATCAATCAAAGTCACGCCCTCTGCCGGGCAAAAATATCTTAAACCAGCTAGGAAAAAACATAGACATCAATCTTAGCCAGCTCATTCAGGAAAATGTCGTGTTTGGGCTTCCATGGAAGATCAACCTAAATCCGGTACGGAGCTACCTAAAACATTCAAAATCGAAACTTGGATAAAAACGAAACAGGAAACGGAGATGAAATTTTACACAGCATCACGTTTTATGAATGGTGCTTCTGAAACTATAGTCGTACGGATGCAACCAGGAAATGAGAATGGAAACAGTAATGTCGCCAAACTGGAAGCGAATTTGTTGTAAAGAAATGATTAAAAATTGAGGCGATGACTGGGTAAATCCATTGATGACTGTGTTGTTGGGAATGGAAATTGAATCATATTCAGTGTGGGCCAAGTCAAACCTGATGATCATTATGCGTTATCACCCGTGTACAGGAGTATCTAGGGCTAAGGGAGAGAGTTGTTTAAAGGCCAATTATTTCAGTTACATCCAGGCTGTCAAGGTTATTGCTATAACTGAACTAGCCCCAATTTACTTTTTCACTGTGATGAAGCAGGCATTGGACGTTGCGTACAAATCTCAGATCATTATTAAGGTGAGCTGGGATTCGAACCCGCGACTGTCGGATCCTGACACAACTATGAACATTAAGTTGATACACCATCATCAGAGAACCACATGCATATGGGGTAGATGTCGTCATATATATGAGTGAATGTATTGTAAGAGTGAATTGTGTTTTGCGCGACACTCGAAGTATATCAGTTGAATTAGCTTGTATCTCTTCCGGCTTTTCTCCCACGTCTCAGGCATGTACCATGTTGATGAGTGAGTGAGTTGAGTTCTACGCCGCTTTTAAAGCAATATTCTAGCAATATCACGGCTGGGGACTCCAGAAATTGGCTTCACACATTGTACCCATGTGGGGAATCAAACCCGGCCTTAGGCATGATGAGCCAGCGCTTTAACCACTAGGCTACCCCACCGCCCCTCATGCTGATGAAACCCACAAGTACTGATTAGCTCACAGACCAAGAAACAACCAGGGCAAATGCAGGATTCGAACCCGTTAGCAAAGAAGCCTGGCACCCATAAAGCGAAAGACAGGCCCGTTTAAAAGGAAAGGTACCGCTATATGGCGGCGGTCTGTAAATGATCGAGTCTGGACCATAAATCCAGTAATCAACAGCATGAGCATCGACCAATGCAATTGGATACGACGACATGTGTGAACCAAGCCAGCGAGTGTGACCACCTGATCCCGTTAGTCGCCTCATACAACAAGCATGGGTTACTGATGATCAATTCTAACCCGGATCTTCACGAGTAGTAGTAGTAGTAGTAGTAGTAGTAGTAGTAGTAGTAGTAGTAGTAGTAGTAGTAGTATAGACAACATACCTTGCGGCTGAGCTCGGGAAAGACTTCACTCTGGTAGGGGAAGGACTGGTCGTCCACGATGTGCCAGTGGAGAACGTTCATCTTGTTCTGTTCCATCCCATCCTGCAACAGATCAGTTACAGTCAAACATCTTTTCGTTAAATACAGGTATTGGAGACGAGTAAGGGTATTAGGTTCTTCTCCAAAGGATTAGCAATATTTGGGCACCAGTCGTTCACATCATCGGGCAAGGCAACAACTAATAGCTCACAATAAACCATGAATAGGTCGTAAACGTAGCCATTGTGACCCATCAATACACAATTTACTTATCACCGCTGCACTAATTGCTTCACTCACTAAATACTATTATGTTACAAAATTATGCTCGCAGCTCATTATGAAAGGTCTCAGATCACAGAGTCACCTCATTGGGTAGTTTTATTGTGAGAGTTTTCAATATACTTGTCTGTGCATGAGAGAACAGAGTTTTCTTACCAAGATATCAAATATTGTCTCTTTGAAAAAGAAATGTCTGGAGGAGTCCACGAGAATCCCCCTGTGTGGGAATCTTGGGTAATCGCTGATCACAGTCTCCTTCACGAACAGCTGAAACAACAAGGGGCGTGTTATTGATCACACATTTCTTAAGAAACATATATTTGTCGAAAATGTTTTATCACTTATACCCTGAAGTCAGTTTTAAGTATTAACAGTGAAAGCTTATAAAAAAGGATTTCACACATTATTTATTACTTGCTTATGAAAACAGTGAGTGAGTTTAGTTTTACGCCGCACTCAGCAATATTCCAGCTATATGGCGGCGGTCTGTAAATAATCGAGTCTGGACCAGACAATCCGGTGATCAACAGCATGAGCATCGATCTGTGCAATTGGGAACCGATGACATGTGTCAACCAAGTCAGCGAGCCTGACCACCCGATCCCGTTAGTCGCCTCGACGACAAGCATGGGTTACTGAAGATCAATCCGAACCCGGATCTTCACGGGTATTATGAAAACAGAAAATGGTTGGCATGAACTGATAAAGTCCTTGTGTTTGTAACTATGTCTATTTTTGTATTTATGTTGGTATAATGTTCGCACTGTAGGTATATAGATTTGTATATTGGCCCTAAGATTCCATACTAATAAACGTTTTCCTCTGCTTCGCACATTTGAAATTGATGTTTACTGCGCTTGTGGCAATAGTCTAACAACATCATGAGAGAAGGCCTCACTAATATGTCACGTGTTCCTCATGGCTTCGACGTGTGACCAACAACCTCAAGGCAATTTCTTATCCAGAATCGAATTCTCCCTTACAAAAATGTAGTACAGTTGTGAAACATTAATAATATTTACATTTGCATTTTTGGCTCGGTCATCCGGGTCCTCGCCATCAAGTCCCCGCCACACAATATGGCTGAACGTCTCCAGGCCCCGCAGCGCCCCCCACACCTCATTGGCCCAGATGAACGCACGTGCCTTCTTCACAACCAGATCATCTGAAATAAATATGTCATGTCTACGTAGAAAAAGCTAGGATAGAAAATTATCAAAACTCTCAATCCCTCATTGTAACTTGTAGATACATCTCTGACAGTTTTTTTGTTTTATGCAGGGGTGAGTTAATCTTGTTTAACGCCGCAGTCCAAACATTCCAGATTACAGTACCTCTATAATGTCGCCTGGGCAAGAAATAAAACGCTGGTTTGATTTATCAGAAACTACCAGTGTCCTAAGGTGCCCATAATGCATTTGTAACCAATCGATCGCCATTTTAGACGGTCCTGGAGATGGGTTACTACGCAGCACTTCAAGGGGTTGTTTCCCCCAGATACGTACCCGAAATGCATCTGGGTATCTCTAAGTGGAAACACCCGACTGTAGGATACCAGGATTCCTCAAGGTATCCGTGATGGATACCTTAATTTTGGGATATACTTGATATCTACCAAGGTGTCCATTGCCGTGCACAAAGGCGAGAGCACCCGGAAGTGCACCCGTTAATGATAACAGGATCACAGTAAGTGTACGGCTGGTATTTGCTAAGTCTAGGCGGACGGAAATCAATCCAGGCCAATCTTATATCATGTTGCTACATCGATCGGTGAACAACGACGTGTATGAACTTATCATTGCGCCTAAAAAATATACAAACTTTAGAACTTAAAAAGTTCTGAAGAAGATCAATAAAGTATAAAGTCTGATTCCCTGTGTTCATCTACATCATGAAACGCGATGATCGCAACACTACATAACTGCATCATGCGTGTAATAACGGAAATAAGATCTCCTCCTCAACAAAAGAAGCGATCAGAAATATTCAACAGAGATCAATCCATCAACCCGCTTCACAACCCTCCATGGGCGCGTTTACTGCACTTGACGCACGTGATAATTTCATTCCGTTTCCAAGGGACTATCTTTACAACATAGCGCAATCACATATAACGTGAAGGGTTATTGTATCGCTGCGCGGGGTGATCTATCCTATTACAGCGGGATGACCTCTGCTGCCGCTCGGAACTACAACAAATATGACATTCTTGTGTCAAGCTCTTTGATATTTTCCCCAAACACCGGCAGGGTTGTAGCGGGACCTCGATGTTTGAGCTCACAAGCCTCCTGTGAGTATCAGCAACAGAGATGAAAATGAAACACGGAGCACTGGGGGATTATTTTGTGACAGAGGGATATGCTGAAATAATCAAGCCGTGTTCACCACATCCCGTCTAATTCTTCAACTTGCCTACAGGGGGTCGAAAAATATTTCTAACGCTTTAGCCATATCATAAAACAACGTGAACGCGGTGTAGGATGGCTTTGGGTTTTCAGAGCAGCGTCTTACTTCAATATGCTTCCAACAAGTCTAGATTAGCATTTAAAAGAGTCCTTGCATATTCTGAATACATGTGTACACTAACCAGTGATAATGCCAAAATTCAGATGTTCTTCAAAACTCAGAAGAGTACACAGTTTAAAACTGAAAATATTTGAAAAACTTACAAGATTCATCGGAGTCAACCGAAGGGAACTTCTGGCAAGGCTTTCGAATCTTGATGTCGACTTTGGCGATGACGTGTGCCTTTGTGTACATGTCTTTGTCGTACTTCAGTGATGGGTCGTCGATGTTGGTGCCGGGGGCGTTCTGCAGATTGTCGTACATGTCCTCAACAGCATCCTCCAGAACCCGCGTTCGGTACCTTTCGACGGCGTCCTGGATAATGTCACAAGTCTCCCCGACGACCTTGAACGTGAACAGGTCTTTGTCGAGCTTGTATACCCTCTTCTCCTTCTTGACGTAGTACTGGGGTAACGGCCATGGCTCACCTGTGGTGGAGTGGGGAGCGCGCCGAACCTTCATCTCCGCACCGCCGTAGTCGTCGAAGCTGATGGCGAAGTCGCTCCAGTCCCATGTCAGTCTAATGCCTCCTATTTCACGCTGCTGATGCTGGTAGTTGTTGCCTTGGTCGTTCATGTTCACGCCCCCACCGTTGAAGTTTTGATACCCGCCTCCGCCGTTATTGTTGTTGAAGTTGTTAGGCTGTGGGTTGTTGTGATATACCCCATCATCAACGTTTTGGATTACTCCCCTTTTATCCCCGTTGTCACTGTTTTGCCTGTTGTCACTTCCGGTTTCAACCGGTCGCTCCAACCTTGCTGACCTCTGTCTGTCATCCTCTGCTATGATGTCCGCTCTTCTGTCATTCTGACCTTGACCCGCGTCTTGCTGCACAGGTGGCGCTGCTGTCTGCACGGGCTGGACATTGACTTCTTCTCTGACCTGAGAATTACCCTGACCCGGCAAATTGGCCCGATTCAGCAGATTGGCTTGATCACCTGCATTGAACTGATTCACCTGATTGCCTTGGATAAACTGATTACCTTGACTACCTTGATTCTGTTGATTGAGGTTGTTTTGCTGGTTCACTTGCTGACCTTGAGCACCATTGCCAACAGCCTGGGTTGGATTTACATGAGCCTCGTTCTGAACTCGAGCGTGGATGTTGCTGGATCCAGGTTGGACCACAGGATCCTGTTCCTTGTGACCTTGAACACCTTGTCCTGCATTAAACTGATTTTGATTGGGTGCTACATTTTGAATATTTCCTTGATTTTGGTTATTCCCTATTCCTTGCGCTCCAATTACACCCGTATGAATTTGTTGTTGATTATTGTTCAGGTTTCTATCGTTGTTGTTGTTGTTGTTGTTGTTCTGGGGCCGTGCTGCGGCCCCTGCCAGGTTCTGCTGAGCAAACTGGTCAGAGTTCTGGTTGAACTGTTTGACGAGGTTCTGCTGCTGTTGACCCTGTTGTCGCGGGACATTATTCCACTGGTTGCCTTGGTTACCAGCATTCCCAGCATTGACATTTAAATAATTTCCGTTCTGATCTGAAATGTACGACACGAATTACGTGAGAAGTGAAATTTTCATCTGAAATCTTTCAGAGATCAAATACAAGGTGGAAATGATACAATCTGGTGGGTAAACTGAGCTGGTCTTAGTTTGTGCAATGTCAGAGTACTGCAGAGAACTGTGTCTGTTCATAGAAGGTTTTAATGAGGACAATGTCACCAGGATGTAACTAAAACGTGCAGATACCACGTCGTGTAAATACTGACAATCCCTGTTTCGTGTGCTTCCTTCACCATTTCAATCTGAAAATCTATACACTTACTTCCAACCTGTCCGTTAATTGGCTGATTTTGAAACTGGCACAGCGATTGACCAATCACAGCCGCCAAGACAAACAGTATGCACGCTTCCATCGCACCAGCTCGATTCTGTCAAAGAAATGAAACAGTCACGTCATGTCATTTTAATTCAATGTCAATAACAAAGACAAATACTACAAGGGGTAATTAATGTGTACTGCTATTGGTTGTGACTATGGAGAATGTTTGGAGTTAATATACAGACTTTCACACAGATATTTCAGGCTAGGTATACGAAAGAATCATTGGTACTCTGACGGTTCTCAATGTCACATTGTGACTGCATGAAGATGCGTTCAGACTTAGTCACTGGAAAGATTGTACGCTTAACAACCAGGCAGCTGGTTCAGTGGGTGAATTTTAGGCTTGCAGTAAACATTCGACATTTTAGCAACATTCTATCAGGCCTGAGATTTACAACTTGAAGCACTATCGGGGATCGAACTCGGATATCTGCAAAATGATTTGTCCGAAGGGTGAGTGCGTGAGTTTAGCTTTACGCCGCTTTTAGCAATATTCCAGCAACATCACGGCGGGGGACACCAGAAATAGGCCTCACACATTGTACTCATGTATTGAATCGAATCCGGGTCTTCAGTGTGACGAGCCAACGCTTTAACTACTAGGCTACCCCGCCCCCCTTGCCCAAGAAAACGCTTAGGAACAGACAATGTCTAATTATCTTGCCCACCCATAGCAACCGAAACCTCAGTGTTATCTAACTAAACAGTTTACCCACCGCAAACCAACGATCCCAACGAGAACGATACTGACTCACACGTCCGAACACCAAATCCACCGGCCGTGTTTTCCATTTCATTTATATATTTACATTGCTGTATGAATACAACGACTCCGGCTGTTCAAAGATACACGCGATATGTATGTACTTTGTGTTGTTTAAAACATACTCCTATCTGTAATGTTCACGAAATGCATACATTTCCATTACAATCGATGCAATACAAAGTCTTTAATAGAATGTTATTTACATTGTCGAATAACTCATACAATTGTTATTTACCAGTTAATTCAATCGGATACTTATAGATCATGTGTTGCCGTGGAATATTGCACATAAAGTGGTATTTACTCCGTCTCAATAGGTGGATTCATAGAGAACAAGGGGGTTGTAGGCCATAGACTAGATTAACGCTTAGTCTCTTGAGTGAGTGAGTGAGTTGATATTTATCGTTACATCGGCAATATTTCAGCCATATGGTTTAAACATATTTATTTTCAGAAACCTGGGTTGTTAAACAAGCATTTTTATGCTTACATAAATATCGCCCCATATCGTGACGAGAACAATTAAGCTATATATATAATTATATATATATGTATTCAGAGACTAAGATTTGATAGTAACAAATTAACCCATTTCAACTGAAATGGAGCCCCAGTGAGATGGGAAATTCAGAACCTGAGGAAATCTAGACTTGGTCATCAAGGGCTAGGCAGTAGAGAATATAATGTGGTTCAGGGACTGTGAGACAGACTAGCGAAAGACGTTTAAAACACGTCGGTGTATCTGGAACATTGATGAAGAGACGTATCGGAATTACGTAAGTGATCGTCCTACTTAGAACTTCAGCATTGTCTCGATTGCGATCAGCTGTTTTTGTAGGCTTGGTTTTTTTTGTACAACGTACTTTAGAACGGAGGATACAGGAAGGTAGGTGTATATAGATGCAACCCGACTGAGTGTTTTAACACCGTTCTGGACACCTGTTGTCATCACTGATATCCGGTGACCCATTCATATGATTGTCAAAGCTATTTTGCCCTCTATTTCTGAGGATAGTCCAAATTGGGTTTTCTTCGGCACTGACGTTTTATATTTACACATTATGTATTTATTACGTACTCTATCGTTTCAGTCTAAAGTAAAGCAGATCTTGGATATTCATCACACCAGTGAGGGCAGTGAGGTAGCCTAGTGGTTAAAGCGTTCGCTCATCACACCGAAGGCCCGGTTCGATTCCCAACAATGGTACAATGTGTGAAGCCCATTTTTGGTGTCCCCGTCGTAATATTGGTGGAATATTGCTAAAAACGGCGTAAAACCTAACTCACTCACTAACCAATTCACGACACCAGCGGACTCAGCAAACACGGCTATGATACGGGCAAATGAGGACAAATCTGGGATAAGCCAAACTAAGAACGGCTAAAATATATATTGATAGGTCTAAGAAATGTAAATCTGTCTCAAAACGAGCACGGATATGGATCTGAACTCAGAAACTGTCAAACTTATTTATTGCATGGTGGTCATAGGTTTCTGGTACGATATAGGGACACAACTCTGCATACAGAATTGCGGCGCCTTTGAGACTGGACGCCGTGCCCCGAAAAAACATTTGACACCTAAACGGAATGTATACCTTCTCCAATATTTACACAGTGAAAATAAACCCATATCCACTCCAGACTGGGATATTGACGGCATATCTACTCCGCCACAAATATCAGATCGAGGGCGAATCAGACATCTAAATGACAATGTCAGAGTGACCTAATGCAGTACTACTAGAACAGCTGAAAGGTTGACTGGTTCCAATTTCCAGGGGCGGCGGGGTAGCCTAATGGTTAAAGCGTTCGCTCGTCACGCTGAAGACTCGGGTTCAATTCCCCACATAGGTACAATGTGTAAAGCCAATTTTTGGTGTCCCCCGCCGTGATATTGCTGGAATATTGCTAAAAGCGGCGTAAAACCATACTCACTGCAATTTTCAGATAAGGCAAGTAAAACAAAAGACCAAAGCCGAGTCACAAGTTCATCGAGGCAGCATCAAGTGGGACGATCTCGCATGGCATATTAACTGCCGTTGCTTGATGCTTTCACACACAGGAGTAAGTCGGCAGTTAACAACCAGTCTTTGAAGTTGCCGTTTGACATTTCCGACAGCTTCTGGCGAGACTATCCTATCATGGTAGCTATTACACCGGTGTACCATCGCCTGCATGTCAACAGTAAACAGCACATGCGCAGTGGTACCCCGGTGACGTCACGTAAAGAGCACGAAGAGGCACGCCGCGAGGATAGAAATGACCTTTAGCGCCTACCGTGGTCACAGAAGTCGAGAGCAGTGTATACCGCATTCCAAACGGCAATCTCCATGGTGTGAGATATATACCGTACGCATGCACAACAGGTTCTTCATTCATAAACATTCATAAGCATTAGAAAGGCTGTTACAATCTACTCCGGTGTCCACACCTACTCATCCACTTCAGGGACGATAGGGTAGTCTAGTGGTTAAAGCGTTCGCTCGTCACGCCTAGGACCCGGGTTCGATTCCCCACATGCAACAGGTTCTTCGTTCATAAACAATCGTAAGCTTTAGAAAGACTTACATTCTACTCCGGCGTCACAACCTACTCATACACTTCAGGAACGGTGGGTTAGCCTAATGGTTAAAGCGTTCGCTCGTCATGTCGAAGACCCGGGTTCGAATATCCACTTGTGTACAATGTGTGAAACCCATTTCTGGTGTCCCGCAGTGATATTGCTGGAATATTGCTAAAAACGGCGTAAAACTAAACTCACTCACACACTTCAGAAGCGTTCCTGTCAAAGGTCAGTCTGATCCATCACCAAGATAAATAAAGGGTGATCCACGTTGCTTCAGAAATGGCGGTATACCTTTAGAGCATCAGTCCTATTCAGACACATGGCGCACCTTCCATGCAGCTGTTATCCAGTCACAAATCTATCCTCTGATTAAGTCAACACACATGAAAACCCGCATGCAGGCCAGGTCTCAGTTAGTCTGCAGCTAGGTGAATTCAATGCCTCTGGTTCACGGTCACCCCGATGTCACCTCAAGTTTTGACAGCCGATCTAGTCTAGTGGTTGAGAGCGGAAGATTGGTGGTACTTCTTGCTCTGCCACTAGGGGGTTAGACTAACGCTTAGTCTCTGAATATATAATTATAATTTTGATAGTAACAAACAAGCCCATTTAAATTGAAAAGGAGCACCAGTGATTCTTGCAGATGTTAACAGACCCTGAACCTGAGGAAATCTAGACTTGCTTTATTTAGGGCTTTAGGACTGCAGATAGGGCTTGGCAGTAGGGAAAATAATGTGGTTCAGGGACTGTGAGACAGACTACCTGGGGGTCATCAGTGAACTGGATAGACTAACGCTTTGTTTCTGAATATATATACTTTTGATACAAATAAACTATTCCTTTAAATTGGAAAGGAGCCCCAGTGAGAGGGGAGATCTGAGGAAATCTAGACTTGCTACATTTAGAGCTTTAGTATTGTAGAAACGGGAGTGTGAGACAGACTATGGATTGGACTACGCAGTGCAATGTGGGGTATTGTGTTATTACCGTGGCATGGTATCTCAGTTGGATTGCATTCTAAATACCAAAACCAACAAACAACAAATGCGTTCGCTCACCCAACCAACCAGCCCCAACAACCAGCCAGCCCCAACCAACCAACCAACCAACCAACCAACCAACCACAACCACAACCCCAACCACAACCAAACCCAACCCAACCCAACCAAACCCCTCTCTCACACACATCTTCAAGTACGTAAGATCTTACAAACGGACATCACTATTGAAGTGGAGTGATCCTCAAAGCGACATTCATCTCTCCTGTCGGTTCATACCACTGGACCCTGGTACATGTTGTACAAGTGAGTGAGTGACTCCGATTAAACGTCGTTTTCTACAGTATTCCAGGTATATCCCAGCGTTTCAGTTTACTGTGTGTGGAGATCTCAACCACGTACCCAATCGGTGTCTTGCGCAGACTGACACGCGTGTATACTGAGGCAGATATACTAAAATGTTACATTCCTTACAAATCATTAGAAACCAGGTGAATTGTCAACATTTTTACTCCTAACTTCATAATCAACAAGCTTACCATTGGTGTTTTTATGTGTTTTCGTGGAATTAATGAGCAACTAATTATGCCTTTAACCACATCAGCGATTTTTCAGCTATGCGTGGTGAGTGTGGCGTGGTCGTGGCTGGGAATTTTGATGTGGATGTCTACGTGCTTGTGAACATCAACAAGAATCAATGGTTTTATGCGATA